GACTCTGGGTATTGTACCAGGACCCTGGGTGTTGTATTAGGACCCTGGGTGTTGTATTAGGACCCCAGGATGTTGTACTAGGACCCTGGGTGTTGTATTAGGACCCTGGGTGTTGTATTAGGACCCCAGGATGTTGTACTAGGACCCTGGGTGTTGTACTAGGACCCTGGGTGTTGTACTAGGACCCTGGATGTTGTACTAGGACTCTGGGTGTTGTACTAGGACCCTGGGTTTTGTATTATGACCCCAGGTTGTTGTACCAGGACCCTGGGTGTTGTATTAGGACCCCGGGATGTTGTACTAGGTCCCTGGGTGTTGTATTATGACCCTGGGTGTTGTATTAGGACCCCAGGATGTTGTATTAGGACCCCAGGATGTTGTACCAGGACCCTGGGTGTTGTACTAGGACCCTGGGTGTTGTACTAGGACCCTGGGTGTTGTACTAGGACCCTGGGTGTTGTACTAGGACCCTGGGTGCTGTACTAGGATCCTGGGTGTTGTACTAGGACCCTGGGTACTTGGGTGTTGTACTAGGACCCTGGGTGTTGTGACCCTGGGTGTTGTATTAGGACCCCTGGACTAGGACCCTGGGTGTTGTACTAGGACCCTGGGTTGTACTAGGACCCTGGGTGTTGTATTAGGACCCCTGGGTGTTGTACTAGGACCCTGGGTGTTGTACTAGACCCCTGGGTGTTGTACTGACCCTGGATGTTGTACTAGGTGTTGTACTAGGACCCTGGGTGTTGTACTAGGACCCTGGGTGTTGTATTAGGACCCCAGGATGTTGTACTAGGACCCTGGGTGTTGTATTAGGACCCCTGGGTGTTGTACTAGGACCCTGGATGTTGTACTAGGACCCTGGGTGTTGTATTAGGACCTTGGTTGTTGTATTAAGACCCCAGAATGTTGTACTAGGACCCTGGGTGTTGTATTAGGACCCCAGGATGTTGTATCAGGACCCTGGGTGTTGTACTAGGACCCTGTTGTACTAGGACCCTGGGTGTTGTATTATGACCCCAGGATGTTGTACCAGGACCCTGGGTGTTGTATTAGGACCCTGGGTGTTGTATTAGGACCCCAGAATGTTGTACCAGAACCCTGGGTGTTGCATTAGGACCCCAGGATGTTGTACTAGGACCCTGGGTGTTGTATTAGGACCCCTGGGTGCTGTACTAGGACCCTGGGTGTTGTACTAGGACCCTGGGTGTTGTACTAGGACCCTGGGTGTTGTACTAGGACCCTGGATGTTGTACTAGGACCCTGGGTGTTGTACTAGGACCCTGGGTGTTGTATTATGACCCCAGGATGTTGTACCAGGACCCTGGGTGTTGTATTAGGACCTTGGGTGTTGTATTAGGACCCCAGGATGTTGTACCAGGACCCTGGGTGTTGCATTAGGACCCCAGGATGTTGTACTATGACCCTGGATGTTGTACTAGGACCCTGGGTGCTGTACTAGGACCCTGGATGTTGTACTAGGACCCTGGGTGTTGTATTATGACCCCAGGATGTTGTAGCAGGACCCTGGGTGTTGTATTAGGACCCTGGGTGTTGTATTAGGACCCCAGGATGTTGTACTAGGACCCTGGGTGTTGTATTAGGACCCCAGGATGTTGTACTAGGACCCAGGATGTTGTACTAGGACCCTGGATGTTGTACTAGGACCCTGGGTGTTGTACTAGGACCCTGGGTGTTGTATTAGGACCCCAGGATGTTGTACTAGGACCCTGGATGTTGTACTAGGACTCTGGGTATTGTACCAGGACCCTGGGTGTTGTATTAGGACCCTGGGTGTTGTATTAGGACCCCAGGATGTTGTACTAGGACCCTGGGTGTTGTATTAGGACCCCTGGGTGCTGTACTAGGACCCTGGATGTTGTACTAGGACCCTGGGTGTTGTACTAGGACCCTGGGTGTTGTATTATGACCCCAGGATGTTGTACCAGGACCCTGGGTGTTGTATTAGGACCCTGGGTGTTGTATTAGGACCCCAGGATGTTGTACTAGGACCCTGGATGTTGTACTAGGACCCTGGGTGTTGTACTAGGACCCTGGGTGTTGTACTAGGACCCTGGGTGTTGTACTAGAACCCTGGGTGTTGTGCTAGAACCCTGGGTGTTGTGCTAGAACCCTGGGTGTTGTGCTAAGACCTGGGTGTTGTATTAGGACCCCTGGGTGCTGTACTAGGACCTTGGGTGTTGTATTAGGACCCCTTGGTGCTGTACTAGGACCCTGGATGTTGTACTAGGACTCTGGTTATTGTACCAGGACTCTGGGTGTTGTATTAGGACCCCAGGATGTTGTACTAGGACCCTGGGTGTTGTACTAGGACCCCTTAGTGCTGTACTAGGACCCTGGATGTTGTACTAGGACTCTGGGTGTTGTACTAGGACCCTGGGTGTTGCATTATGACGCCAGGATGTTGTACCAGGACCCTGGGTGTTGTATTAGGACCCTGGGTGTTGTATTAAGACCCCAGGATGTTGTACCAGGGCCCTGGATGTTGTACAAGGACCCTGGGTGTTGTAATAGGACCCTGGGTGTTGTACTATGACCCCTGGGTGTTGTACTAGGACCCCAGGATGTTGTACTATGACCCCTGGGTGTTGTATTAGGACCCTGGGTGTTGTACTAGGACCCTGGGTGTTGTACTAGGACCCTGGGTGCTGTACTAGGACCCTGGATGTTGTACTAGAACCCTGGGTGTTGTACTAGGACCCTGGATGTTGTACCAGGACCCTGGGTGTTGTATTAGGACCCTGAGTGTTGTATTAGGACCCCAGGATGTTGTACTAGGACCCTGGATGTTGTACTAGGCCCCTGGGTGCTGTACTAGGACCCTGGATGTTGTACTAGGACCCTGGGTGTTGTACTAGGACCCTGGGTATTGTATTATGACCCCAGGATGTTGTACCAGGACTCTGGGTGTTGTATTAGGACCCTGGGTGTTGTATTAGGAACCCAGGATGTTGTACTAGGTCCCTGGGTGTTGTATTAGGACCCTGGGTGTTGTATTAGGACCCCAGGATGTTGTACCAGTACCCTGGGTGTTGTACTAGGACCCTGGGTGTTGTACTAGGACCCTGGGTGTTGTACTAGGACCCTGGGTGTTGTACTAGGACCCTGGGTGTTGTACTAGGACCCTGGGTGTTGTACTAGAACCCAGGGTATTGTACTCGGACCCTGGGTGTTGTATTAGGACCCCAGGATGTTGTACCAGGACCCTGGGTGTTGTATTAGGACCCTGGGTGTTGTATTAGGACCCTGGGTGTTGTATTAGGGCCCCAGGATGTTGTTCCAGGACCCTGGGTGTTGTATTAGGACCCTGGGTGTTGTATTAGGACCCCTGGATGTTGTACTAGGACCCTGGGTGTTGTATTAGGACCCCAGGATGTTGTACTAGGACCCTGGGTGTTGTATTAGGACCCTGGGTGTTGTATTAGGACCCCAGGATGTTGTACTAGGACCCTGGGTGTTGTATTAGGACCCTGGGTGTTGTATTAGGGCCCCAGGATGTTGTTCCAGGACCCTGGGTGTTGTATTAGGGCCCTGGGTGTTGTACTAGGACCCTGGGTGCTGTACTAGAACCCAGGATGTTGTACCAGGACCCTGGGTGTTGTATTAGGAATCAAGGTTTTCTCCTGATCATTTTTATATTTTACAAAACATTGAGTTTCTCTTTTATTTTTTCTCCCCCTCTCTATATTTATACTTATTCAAATTTTTATCTTCGTGTCTCGTGATTTTCTCTGTTTTGACATGTAGTTTTCCTATTCTGGTTTTCTCTTCAGCATACTTTTTCTTCCTTAAATCATATGTATATTTTGTTCTCTTTTTCTGTATTGATGGTTCATTCTTGTTTTTTACATGTTCTCTGTTCAACACTAAATTGTGTTGATCAGTCGTGATCTTGCCTTCCATTGTCATGATTGTTTTGTCATTTGGACCATTACACAGTTTTGTCCTGTAGCTGTAGTAGTGGGTCCCCCCCCCACCCACTCTCAACCTAGATGTGTCCCACCTCCTCTCAGCCGAGATGGTTTCTTCTTATCAGCCACAATCTTCTCTTCCTCCTTGAAGCCCTAATGCCCCATTGACCACTTTGAATTATGTTCATTTTCTTCCCCTAATTCCTTTATTTATGCATAGGATCTTCTTCTGTTTACCTGTTTGTCTATTTCTGGGATCTATCTAAAATATAAGGTGTTTAAATATAAGATATTTAATTATAAGTGCTCTATAGAATAATAATTTATTCACAAGAAGGTACAATGGGTTGGGGCTATTACGAAAGATGGGTATTTGTACATTCTTGCAAAGCCACTATCATGCATAGCATTTTGGGCAGGTCCTTAATCTAACATCTCGGGCAAGATGAAAAGGTACATTGTAGCAAGGTTTTATATCGACAAATAGCTACAATATAAAATGAGAGGTGATTACACTGATAAAGTACTAATATATTGTACTACAGTATTATAATAATAACAATATATTTTTAAGTACTAATATTGGGGAAGTAATATACAAGATACAGTGAGCTTGAAGCACAAGGTAGGAAACCATGAGGATGAAATAAGGTACTTTTTGGTTTTACTTTTGAATAGGGCATGGGTGGGACAATTTTTTAATTCATCAGGGAGGGATTTCCAAAGACTGGGTCCTTTTATTTGCATGGAGTGTTTGCACAGATTTAGCCTGACTCTGGGGATATTAGATTTATTTCTGGTGTGGTGCTCATGGGTTCTATTACACCTATCAAGGAAAAGTTTCAGATAAAGATTAGCACTTAGGAACAAGGTTTCTACATGTAAATAGCACATGAGAATGTGTGGAGTGTGTGTGTTTGGCATGTTAAGAGACTTAAACAGAAGGCCTGTGTGTTGTCTGAAGACAGAGTTTGTTACACTGTTCTGATAGCTCTATTAGTTTCTGACTTCTCTCAACCCTGATCCTCTCTGCCTTCAGTCCTTATTATGTCTTCTCTTCCCTCCACCCAGCCCTGATGCACGCGACGGTGTTCGGGAATGTGACGTCAATCATCCAGAGAATGTACCTGAGGCGCTCCCTCTACCAGACCAAGTGGCGTGACCTGAAGGACTTCCTCTCCCTCAATCAGATCCCGAAGGAGCTGCGGCAAAGAATGCAGGACTACTTTCAAACCATGTGGAGCCTTAACCAGGGCATTGATATTCATGAGGTAAATCTGACCCAAAGAAATTAACTTTCCAAGGTTTTAAGTGTAGGGGGGGGGGTTTCCTCTTTGTGGGACCTTCTGGCCAAGCTGGTGACTGGAATGATACGGTGTACTGGGAGTATTTAGTACCTTTCCTGTTTTTATAGTAAGAAAACTATGTATACACACTCTAACCTTAAGGGTAGTGCATTTTTTTTATTAGATTTTGTTTATAAGTTTGTTTACCTAATCTTGTACATTTCTCTTCATCCTCCACTCACGCACTTAATGGTCTGATTGTTGCTGCTAGTGCCTGTTGGTTTATTATGCACCTGATTCTCATCCTGTGATCGGAAGCATAAAATAATTCGAGGCCACGAAATAATTGTATACTGTTTCACATTTGTCTATATAATTTATCTATACAAAACACCTTATGTTTTATTACAGTGATACCAAGTAACAGAGCACTCCTTGCATTTTGACTAAATTATGACCAGCACTAGAGACTAGCAATGTCACCTCGAGGTTACCTTGAGATGATTTCAGGACTTGGCATCCCCGCGGCCCAGTCCTCAACCAGGCCTCCATGTCGGGGCTAGTTTGTCCCTGTCTCATTAGTATATTTTTTTAGGGCTCACATTTTAGTGATGTGAGCAATTCTAAAGTGCTTCCTAACCATCATGTCAAACCTTTAACTTCTGATATATCAAATACAGTATTTACATATTTACAATCTATTTACAGTATATTTGTACAGGTTTTGTTGACACTTCACTGTAAAAATGTCTAAAATATTTTATGCTTGCATACCTCATTCATGGTGCTATTATTTTGATGGGGAATAAGAATTTATTGGACTATATATATAGGACCAAAGTAAACTTGCTGGTTGGTCAGTAAGCTTTTGTGGTGGCCTTAAGGCCTATCAACCTCTGGAGGATTGTTAAGTCCAACACCAAACAAAATAGTAGCAAGATTGCTACTATTTTGCTTTTAGGATAATTTAAATAAATTTATTCATGTGTATCCACATAACACCTGGACAAAGATGACATAGAAGTCTGATTATAAATGCGGTATTTGCATCTGGCTATGTGTGATGCCATGTTTCCGTAGGAATCTCCTCTCCCTTGAGAGGGTGGGTACCTTGTGAGAGAACTCCTCCTATACATCTGGGGCCAGATTCATGAAGCAATTACACCAAGCACTTACGAACGTGTACATCTTTCCTCAATCTTTGACGACTTTGGTTACATTTATTAAACAGTTCACAAGCATGAAAACTTCCCAATCAACTGTTGTTATTGTTATAAACAGCCTCCTGGTGCTTCGGAGCTCATTAATTGTTTAATAATTGTAAAAAAAGCCGCCAAAGATTGAGAAAAGATGTACAGGTTCGTAAGTGCTTGTGTAACTGCTTTGTGAATCTGGTCCCTGAACTTTATCTAAGCATAGAAGATTTTCTAATGAACACCCGCAGCCTCTGTTAACCTCTAAACACTGCAGCTATTTAAAAGTACAGCAAGGAGGTGCACATGCCTTAAATTAGTTAGAGAAAAATGCAATTGATGATCAAAGTTGTGTAGGGATTAATAATATTTTTGTTAGTTGCAATGGCTACATAATGGAAATAAATTACATGCTCTTTTTAGTTCATCATAACTGAAAGAATATTTGTACCATGAAAAAATGCAATGCTACTGTTTTTCTCAATGTTACTTTAGAAAAGCAAAGGTTAATATACAATATGTACAGTACATTATTATTATAATTACATGTCCTAATCCATAACATGCACAACAGGGGGCACTGTTACATTCACCATTTTTTTTTTTACACCAGACCCTGAAAGAGTTCCCCGAAGAGCTACGAGGGGACATCTCCATGCACATCCACAGGGAGATCCTATCCTTGCCCATCTTCGAGACCGCCTCGCAAGGCTGCCTCAAGCTGCTGAGCCTTCACATCAGAAACAACTTCTGTGCCCCTGGCGAATACCTGGCTCATCGCAACGATGCCCTCCAATACATTTACTACCTCTGTAATGGCTCCATGGAGGTCGTCATGGATGACATGGTTGTTGCCATACTTGGTAAGATTTATTGTCTTTTTTTTGTTTGTGTTTATGTATATGACTGACTGGCTGCCTATCTGCTTATTTTATTGTTGCCATCAGTGGTGGCTAGTTTATTGCATTTCAAGTGATCTAGATCCCTATGCAAACTGGACTATTAGAAATAAGTGGAAAACCATTTGTTTTCGGTTGTACAGTTGGGTTCGGTCTCGACTCAATTGGAATCCCGGGTGAGACAGAAATGGTCGAGTACGTTTCCTTTCCACCTAATGCCTCTGTTCACCTTGCAGTAAGTAAGTACTTGGTGGGGTTAGTAAACTGTTGTGGGGTTGAATCCTTGGAAAGGTCAGTAGTTCAACCATGGGAAGACCTCAATGTTTTATAAACCTAACATTTATAAACACACACAGGTTGCCTGTTCCTGACACGACAAAATGAGTTACCAGTTGTGTGCCCCATTTTGGTTGCTTATTCTTTCCTGTGGTGTTAGTTGTGTGGTTGTCGACCTGTCAAGTGGCCACACTGACCAGTTTCCCAGTTGTTTACCCATCTAGGTTGGTTTGTATGACTGCTTGCCTGCCTTCCTGGCGCTAGCTGGATGGGCATTCTCTGGATGACTGCTTGCCAACTTGGCTGATAAACTAGGTGACATAGTGCCTAGTTATCTGGTATTCTGGGTTGCTAGTGGCTAGCAGGCTGGGTGGCAGACTGGCAACTTAGTTGGCTGGCAGGCTGGGTACATAGATGCCAGCAGGCTGGGCACAGATGACAGGCTGGGCACATTGATGGCAGGCTGGATATTTATTGGTTGGTATGCTGGGTACCTAAATAGTAAACAGGCTGGGTGCATTGGTTAGCTCTCTCAATGACTGGGTGCCGGATTGCATCCATAGGTTAAAGGTTAGCAGCTTTTATGATTTATTCTTTTAGCTAACTGCATGTTCGACTGATTGGCTAGCTGATCGATTAGCAATGAGCCAGCCTATATGGCCACCAGCCTGCCTGTCCCCACCTCCTGTGTGCACTTGTGTGTGGGGATGTACTTTGACAGGCTTAATAAATGCTCATTGAAATAAGTCTTAAACTAATACAACAGTATTCTACCATATAGTTATGGCATGAGCCTCCTGTACTTTCCTCTCCTAGGAAAGGGTGACCTGGTGGGTACTGATGTAGACATGCACCTTCGTAATGGCGCCGACACCGTGGTCAAGTCTTCTGGTGATGTAAAAGCACTCACTTATTGTGATTTGAAGTCAATCTACATTCCTGGTTTACTGGATGTCCTCAAACTATACCTCGAGTACCAACAGGAGTTCGCTAATGACATCAAACACGACTTGACATACAACCTGAGGGAGGGCTATGACAACGAGGTGAGGTTGGACAGCTGGGCGAGATGCACTTAAAGTAGAAGAGGATATTATATGCATATACTTTATGTAGGAAATAGTACTTAAATGAGTAAAGGAGGTAAAATAAACAATTTAAAACTTGAGGGGGGGTTACATGCAACTAGAGTTAAGGAGAAGGCATCTTTGTACTGTATTCATTTTGTATGCAGAGCAGAGTTTGTACAAGATATTCAAGAAGTGTGTTGCATAAAGATGGTTCAGTGGTTTAATTGTAAATTTTAATTTACAGAACACTTTGCCTATAACTATCCTTTGTACAGCAGCAAGACATGGATATTGGCTCTGGGAAAAACCTGTTACCATCAATCAGCGAGGATGACGAGGAACGAGGGAGCGAGGATGAGGACAAGTCTCCCGTGTCAACGTCGCCCAGGTCTCCTCTACACACCCGCACCACCACAAGGTTCACCTTCCCACGGTCAGTCGATGTTGTCGGGCTTGGCGCCAGTGTGCTGCACCAAATTACTGTATACACGAATCATTTACACTACACCTAAATATTATTTTGTTAAAAAATGTTTTGCTTTTGTAAATCACCATACTCTTATCAACCCTTTACACTTCGCCTTCAGGTTTCATAAGAAAAATTCCTTTCTTAATAGACTATCGACAAGTTACTAAGTTTAACTTTCATTTATCATTTCTTTTTGAGCTATCTGCAGCCATTTGGCTGCTTTGTAAGGTGAGATTCACTGTGTCTCAGGTCAGGGTCATGCACACTTATATACATATAAAAATACTTCATGAGGGAATCATGCACAGATCACATGTATAAAACACTTCAGAAGAAGCTATGGAGTTGTTTTTGGTGTTTGGTTCTGCCCTTGTTTGTGAGTTGTCTTTTGCCTGCTACCCATCTTCAGCATCTCTGCGGTATATGCCCATTTGCCCTTTTGAATTCCAATAGTTTGGGGGGACAGGAAACCTATTAGGCTTATAGAGGTTCCCCTAAGCCAATGACTGAACTTTCTCAGGATGCAAACAAAAGTTTCCCAACTCCCTGGTATCTGTTTACTAAGTGAACAGTGAATCAGGTGAAAGGAAACAGTACCCAACTGTTTCTGTCCTGCCTTGGGAATTGAACCTGGGACCTTTCAGCTGTTACCCAACTGAACTACTTGCTCTGTAATATCTTCCATTTTAAAAAATTACTTCAGTGGGCAACTCAGAACTCAGGCTTTGAAAGTGAGAATTAAGTAGCTCTCTTGAGTGTATCATGTGGCTGCTCCTGAACCCACCTTTATGGTTCTTAGCTTTAGAAAGTATTGTTGTGTGTGGCTCAGCCACCTGGTGGCAGTCAATGGGGGCTCCAAATAGGATAACTGGTAGTTTATCCCTGGAACCAGGGTAGTTTATTACCCTTGGCAATAAACTGTGATGGTAAAGAAGGGTTCTCTATGGCTTTACATTTTTAAAATAAAATATTATGAGCTATTCTAGGCTGGACTCATTTATTCTTCAGTAACTCCCTAGCACATTATGAAGCTGCAGGGACAGTTTAAAATGTCCCTGCAGAAAATACATAATGTCTTCTTACCTGACTGCATAATCCTACCCTAAAGACATAGCAAATCTTTTCTTAGGAAGTGGCCGAATGATTTGTTCAGAAACGCATTGTTCATATAATTAAAAAAAAATTAATTCTGTTGCTTCCTACACACTTTCCAGATACAATATTCAGTGGCACAACATTTTTTTAGTTACAGGGTATTATATTATTTAATTGTAAATATTCATGAAATGCACATAGGTGTGATTAATGATACAGAATGCTTCTTTGGGTATACCTGCATTAACCACTGGTACAGCGTGAGGCACTGCATCTTGCAAATCTCAGTAGTTCTACTAGAACCCAAATTTTTCCAATGAAATACAGTGGTGGCTGATAACGCTTGAGACATTACAATAGCAGCTTCTTAAAAAAAAGAAAAAAGCATTCTTGTCAATATTTCAGTTGTGCTTAAAAGGACAAGTTATTGCTACTGTGCATCTTAGTTGTGTGTTAACCAATCCTAGTAATGGTATATGCCATCATTCGCTTTACTCGTATGTTTATGCATAATTTTTTTATGAGCTTATTGCTTAAGAGCAGCTTTATTACATAAGCATGAGTGTTTGGGCACTATGCAATGTGTGCGCACTTGAATTACATCTCGTGTATAAATTTTAAGCAATACTCATTGTCATTCAATAATTACATCCATCGATCCAACATAAAAATAAGCATCAAAATATTACTCCCAAATCATGTCATGAAGAAAGTAAATACTTAAAAAAAAACAAGCTCCGAAGGCTGCAGCACATGATGTAATGAATTCCTCATTTATTGCACAACAGTACTTGTTAATTTTCTTGACAATGCCCAGTACTGTACTCACTACCTTATGTAATTCATTAATAAATGCTATACAATCGCAGTAACATTTCATCCGGAGTCCAACACTGTAATATTTATCTTGATAAGAAAATATTAAGGTCATATGATGGAATCGAACCTGCATCCATGGACTATGTTGGCACACGCACGGGATGTGGGTTTGACCCCATCATAGGCACCAATATTTTCTTGTAGATACATCATGCTCTTGTGGTTTAATTGTGCATCTAGATAAGTATTTATCATTTTCCCGATACAGTACTTTCAGTTACAAACCTTGTAATTTGTTCATAATCCTCCAAAATCCTCTATTCACCAATGCACTAATACTTGGCAAAAGCCTTTTAGCGTTGACTTGGCAACAAACATAATTATACACAAAATGTTTAGACCAAGTGTAGAAGCCACCATTCCTTTCCATTCACATCCAAGAAAAACAGTTCGTCTTCATTCCCCATCACATAACTAAAAAAAACAGTTTTACACAAAGATGTCCTTGAGTAATAGCAAGTGTTCCCTGTACTCGGGTACCTGCATGATGTCAACATACATGCATCAGGCAATTGGTTTAAAATCCAGGCCAACTAAGGACTTTTCCCTCAATGGTATCCTTATGTCACAAGTAAGACACCTTGGAGGAAACTCATGGTGACAACATCTGCTTGTTTATACACAAAATTATCAGAGATAAATTTGATTGCAATATTTATGCAAGATGAATTTTGATTTAAAAAACAAAGCCTGACTCAATTGGTGGTTTGTGCAGTTTTAGTAATCATAAACTATTGAAAACTTATCAATTTCAACCAATGCAGTCAATTTTCAAAACATTAAACAAATTTAATAATTGACATTGTGTACTCATCATTACCCAATGTTTTGTGTACATAAGCATCTACCACTTTCTTTTGTACAGTAGTTTAAATTCACTAAGATTTTGTGAGATTTATTACCATGCACTTTAATACAACATATTTTACCAATAGAAATGATGAAGAAATTGGGAGCCCTCGTTGGGGTCACAGAAGTCGTGAGCGGAGTGGTGGGACTCCAGTAAGGGGCGCCCTGAAGACCCTCTCCCCAACTCGCCTTCACCATCGCTCCAATGATGAACTCAGATGTGATGATCAGGCAAAGGTTCAGCTGGAAAAGCTTGACACACAAGTTAACACACTTCACTCAGATGTTAGTGGCTTAACTCAAGAGGTGAGTGAGAAGAAAGTAGTTCTTATTCTGATAGGATTAAATCATAGATGTCACAACAATAAAATGACCTGTTTATTAGATCAGTAATAAATTATACACACTATCAGGATATTTAGCATCCCAGTCTTAATTAGAGTTAACATTTTAGTCCATACATCCTCCACTGTCATAGACCAAGCATAAGTACAAAATATGATTATCCCAGTCATTAATTGTCTGTTTTTGTATATTAATATATTACGTTCAAAGCTATGGATTGAAATATAAAACATGGCCCTTGTTTGGCCATGGGTAGGGAGTGGTATCGTGCTGGTTGGGGCGTCAAGGTGTTGTGCAGCCTGCCTACCTACTCGGAGGCTGGTTCCCGTTTCCTCTGGGGACATTGTACTTTTTTTTTCTCTTGCCTGGTGTGGTTATAGTTCTACTTATAATATTTTGGTGGCCCTCTGCTAGGCCCTCATGATTGTACACGTCACAGGGGTTTCAGTGTTATGATCTCCCCTTTATTAGCCTTGGGTCTTAACCGGTTAGCAACACCTTGCCCCGGCTTCCGGTAGCAATTAGCCTAAAGGCCCTGGAAAACCCTGTCAGGGCTCAGTGGACCTATGGATGCATCTTCCAAGTTCCAGTCTACCTCATGCGGGTTCGAAGGTTGCTGTGTACCCTCGTCTCAGGACGACAGTCACCTCTTTTGCCTCACTCATGCTGTCTGTTGGGTCAACGACACTTTTGACCCAGAGTCTTGCAAGTCGTGTTCTCTGCTTTTTCTCCAGTTAGGTTGCTGCAACAAGCTAGGTTGGTTCCCACCCGGATGCCCCACAGCTGCCCTGCTTTGGTTATAGAGACCCGGACCTGGGGGCGTTAGTTGCTTCCACTTTGGTTCAGTCCGCACTCCCTGGTCTTTCCCCTGTTGTTCACCCTTCACCTCCCATCCCCTGCTTCCGGCTCCCAAACGTCTGAGGGTTTCGGAGTCGGAGCAGGGTTTAGTTGGTAATGAGACTGGCAGCTTTGGGGACTGCCCCGTTCGGGTTGGGGAGGGAAGCATTCAAGCCGGTTTCTCCTGCCGGGGCTTCTGGATCCCACCAGCAGGACCCCTTCTTTTCATCCTTGCCCCTGGACTCTGTCTTTTCTTCAGGGATAGAGGGAATGGAGGACTGCTCTGCCCTGGGTCTTGACTTGGGGGATCCCGGGGATAGGGAGAAGTCGACCTGGGGGTCTTGGGCCCCCTTGGACCCCGATTGGGTGTTGGTGTTCTCTACGCAGGGCTTGTTGTTGCAGGGGGGAGAGGGGTTTTCTTGTACAGGGAAAAGGGCGAGTATGATTTGGGGTCAGCCCCTCCTCGGGTTTGGTTCCGGGCTCCCTTGGGTTCCTCGGCCCTGTCCTTCTGGAGGTTCTTTACCTTTCGTATCTCCCATGGGGAGGTTCGGGAGGCTCTTGCTGCAAGACCCGGATTCTGCCTCTGTGATAGATCCATCCTTATATGAGTTCGGTTCTTCTTTCCCGTATTGGGTGTGTTTGGAGGATCTGGAGTCTTCCTGGCTGGCAGACTGCCCATTCTTTTCGTTGGGGGCTTGGCATGGGTTCTGTCAGACCTGCACGCTTGAGTGGCGAGAAACTTCTACTGTTCTACAGGTTTACCGGGGGGGTGGGGAGCAAGTTTGAGTGCCTTAATGGGTGCTTGTTTGCCCCTGTGCTTTCTCGGGACGTTGGCCTTGTGCAGCTGCACGTGGAAGTTACTACCCTTTTAGCGTCCTTCGTTGCTGAGGACTTTCACACCCATGGGCAAGGCTTCGGTCTTGCATTTTTTTCCCATCTTGAGCTGTCTTTGCCTGGCTTGGAGGATATGGCGGTGTTGAGTGCCGGGCCTTTGTCTGGTGTGCTGTTCTTGGCGGCTCAGGCATTGGCCACACTCTTGCAGCTGTTTGCACTTATCCCGAAGGAAGCAGTGTCTCTGTTTTTTGCTTCTTGCCTCGTGTGCTGTCAGGCTGTGGTCGCGCTCTTTGGAATCCACTTCGGCCCTGACTCTTAGGTTTTCATCGTCTTTTGTCTGTTGCCATTTGCAGTCTGCTGTCACACAGTTTCTGCAGGCAGCTTCGTCTAGTTGTCCTATGTTGGACTTGTTGGTTCTCCAGGGTGGCCGTTCTAGGCCTTCTCGGAATTGCCGTGCCAGGGCTCAGGGTTCCGGTGGGCCATTGGTGCCAGCTTCTGAGGCGACGTAAGCACCTCCAAGCACCTCCAAAGGATACCTGATCAACCAGGCTGTGACTCATACTTCAGGCTGCGAGCAGCCGTGTCTAACAGCCTGGTGGATCAGTCCAGCAACCAGGAGGCCTGGTCGACGACCGGGCCGCGGGGACACTAAGCCCCGGAAGCACCTCAAGGTAGCCTCAAGGTAGGACGTTGCCTTCGGAGCCGGCGTCGTCTAGTCAGCGCGATGATTGCTCTGTTTGTTGGCCCTTTCGAGGTTTACTCCATTGATGGGGGCAACCAGGGGGAGAGGCTCACTCCGTATGCTCGCACTTGGTCCTACGGTTTCTGGGCATTTTCGGTCGTGTCTTCCGGCCTGTGATGGCGTTGGGCGGTTCATCCTCCTTCGGGGCTGACGGGGCAGGCTTCTTTACCTGTGCTTCGTCAGGTCATACCAGAGTGAGTGTGCTTGGGCGTGGTCGAAACGGGACTCTGCGGGTCTGCGGTTCATTCTAGACTTATCCTGTCTGAACCCCTGGATTCCTTGCTCCTCCTTTCAGATGACCACTCTGTCTCAGGTCCGGCTTCTTGCCGGACCTGAGGAAGCAAGGTCCGAACCTGGGAAGAAACCAGATGGGATTTCCTCCAGTTCACCAGGAATCCGGACCCAGCGAGCTGGGAAATAACCACACTCCTGGGGAGCAGACAAGCGGACTGGCTGGGAGCCCACACCAGCCAGTCATCAAGGTAGGCCAGGACCCGAACCCCTAGCAGATGCAGACAGGTCACCACGACCCGGGTAAGACTCGTGAACACACGAGGTGCCAGATTAAAGCCAAAAAGAAGACATCAAAGGCGGTAAACCTGACACCCCACCACGAAACCTAGCCAGTCCCTGAACCCCTGATGAATATGTAAGTGCCAATACGCGTCCTTGAGGTCCAGGGACACCATCCAAGTACCTGGCTCTAAAAGAAGCCGGACCTGAGACAGAGTGGTCATCTGAAAGGAGGAGCAAGGAATCCAGGGGTACAGACAGGATAAGTCCAGAATGAACCGCAGACCCGCAGAGTCCCATTTCGACATTGAGAACAGGTGAGAAACCCATCAGAGGGATGGGATCATTTCGACTATGCCCAAGCGCACCCACTCAGAGATGACCTGATGAAATGCAGGGGAAGAAGTCTGCCCCATCAGCCCTGAAGGAGGTGGAGCTGCCCAACGCCACCATAAGCCATATGACACAGCCGAAAATGTTCACTAATCGTGGGATCAAGCGCAAGTAAACAGAGCGAGCCTTCCTCCTGTTGCCCCGTCAACAGAGTGAACTGCGAAAGGGCCAACACCCCTTATAAGCCGGCCAACAAACAGAGCAATCATTGTGCCGACCAGACAATGCCGCCTCCGAAGGCAACGTCAGCTCAGAAGCTAGCACCAATGGCCCACCTCGACCACCTGAACCCCCAGCCCTGGCACGACCCTTCCGAGAAGGCCTAGAACGGCCACCGTGGAGAACCAACAAGTCCAACATAGGATGACAACTAGACGAAGCCGCCTGCAGAAACCATGACAGCAGACTCTGCAAACAGCAACGGACAAAACGATGATGAAAACCTAAGAGCCAGGGCCAATGCAAATCCCAAAGAGAGCGCGAGCACAGCCTGATGACATGCAAGGTGAGAAGCAAAGAACAGAGATACTGCCTCTTTCAGGATAGGCGCAAACAGCTGCAACAACACGCCCGAGGACAGCACACCAGACAAAGGCCCGGCACTCAACACCTCCACATCCTCCAAACCAGGCCAAAGACAGCTCGAGAAAGGAAAAAAAACTCAAGCCCGAAGCCAAATGCCCACGGGTGCGCAAGTCCTCGGCAACCAAGGACACCAAAAAGTTAGGAACCTACATGAGCAGCTGCACAAGGCCAACATCCCGAGAAACTACAGGGGTGAACAAGCATGCATTAAGACACTCAAACTTGCCCCCCACCCCCAGGTAAACCTGCAGAACGGTAGAAGTTTCTCGCCACTCAAGTGTGCGGGTTCGACATAACCTATGCCATGTCCCCAACAAAAAGAATGGACAGTCTGCCAGCCAGGAAGATTCCGAAACCTCCAAACGAACCCAATACGGGGAAGAAGAACCGAACTGAAATAAGGATGGATCTATCACAGAGGCAGAATCCGGGTCTCGCAAGAGGTACGTAGCAAGAGCGTCCCGAACCTTCCCCATGGGAGATACGAGAGGCAGAGAACCTCCAAAAGAACGGGCCGATAAACACAAGGGAGCCTGGAACCGGGAAGGAGCCAACCCCAAATCATACTCGCATAACATACTTATTCCCTGTATGAGAAAACCCCCTCCCCATGCAATAACAAGCCCCACGAAGAGGGTATCAACACCAAAGTGGGGTCAAAGGGGGCCTAATACCCCCCAGGGCGACTCCTCCCCACCCCGAGATACCCCAAGTTGGGACCCTGAGGCAAAGCAGTCCTCCATTCCCTCTTCCCCTGAAGACAAGTCAGAGTCCAGGGGCAAAGCTGAAAAGAAGGGGTCCTGCTGGTGGGACCCAGAAGTCTCGGCAGGAGGAACTGGCTTGAATGCCTCCATCCCCAACCCGAACGGGGCAGTCCCCAAAGCTACCATGCTCCGACTCCAAAACCTTCAGACGTTTGGGAGCCTAAAGCAGGGGAAAAGGGAGGTGCAGAGTGAACAACAGGGGAAGGACCAGGAAGCGTGGACTGAACCAAAGTGAAAGCAACTAACGCCTCCAGGTCATCAAAATAGTATGGAGAACAAGCAGAGAACACAACTCGCAAGACTGGGTCAAAGGTGTCGTTGACCCAACAGGCAGCATTATGGAGGCAAAAGAGTTGATTCACCCTGAGACAAGGACACACAGCAACCTTTGAACCTGCACGAGGCGGGCTGGAACTCAGAAGACTCATATATAGGTCCACCAAGCCCCAACATGGTTTTCCAGGACCTAAAGGCTGACTGCTGTGGGAAGCCCGGACAAGGTGTTGCTAACCAGTTAAGACCCAAAGCTAACAAGGGGGAGATAAAAACACTGAAACTCCTGTGATGTGTACAATTATGGGGGCCTAGCAGAAGGCCACCAAAATATTATAAGTGAAACTATAGCCACACCAGACAAGAAAAAACAAAAACAAAAGGAAAACCCCGCAAAAGTACAACGTCCCCAAAGGAAACAGGAACCAGTTGCCACGTAGGTAGGCAGACTGCACAACACCTTGACGCCCCAACCAGCACGATATCACTCCTTACCCAAGGCCAAACAGGGGCCACAAAACACCAGCTGGCCCCAAGGGCAGAGTAAATGTCAAGCAGCAAAAATCCCGGTCGATGACAGATAAGGAAAACCCCCAACCACGGGGGAGTTTTCCAGGGCCATTACTCCTTGCAACCTCAATGAGGGGGGTGGCCAGGTTCTTGCTCGTGGTCCCCAGTAGGTCGAACTCCACAGACTAATGCCTCGGTCTAATATATCACACATTAGTCCGATAGCTCCAGGGGCTCCCCACAGAACATATGATTTCTTTACAACAAGAAACTGGGTTGTAATTATAGTGTAAACTTGGATTTCGTTACTGATTAAGGAATTAAGTATGGATAGAATGCAGAAGTTGTAGTGCTGAAGCATCGGGAAAGAAAAAAACACCCAACAAGCATCTTTTGGAAGAAAAATGAAAGAACACTTGTTGTCAAGTGTTGTACAGAAGATGTGTGTGAAACAAGCAAAAAATCATGCAGATGTAATTACCAAGTGTGTAGACAAAATAAACAAAACATATATCAGTTCTTCTTGTAAAACCTTCAATATCATTTACAGTATAGCAAAAAGACGTTGGCCATCTTCAGACAATGAAGACAATAAAAAGTAAAAAAGTTAGACATGGGAATGTCTCTTGATGCACAAGAAACTGCAGTAAAACAGTTGAACACATTACAAGACAGATTCGAAACAAAATATTTACTCCTAATTTATCCTTAATCATTAGTTCAAATTCTTTTAAGGTTGACTGTATATCTTGTAACTTACAAGTTTTCAAAGTATACCTTGATTGCTTTGATATGAGCATTAGTGGTTTTGAGAGAATGTACAGGGGTACCTCGGTTTAAGAATTTAATCCGTTCCTGGAGATGGTTCGTAACCTGAAAATTCGTAAACCGAAGCGAATTTCCTCATAAGAAATAAGGGAAATGAATTAATCCCTTCCTGACTCCCCAAAAACTTCACTTCAAAGTCAATTTTATACCTAATTCACCCAAATTTTCACTACAAAATTATGTTCAAGTTATTACTTACTCTTGCTGATGACTCCTGTTATCGTATGGAAGATGGTGAGGAAGGGGGAGGAGGAGAGGTGTTACTGTTTGGAAGGGGAGTCCCCTTCCATTATAACATCAGGCAGTGATGACTTCTCTGGAGTACTCACTCTGGTACGTTTTGCCTGCATACCACTAGGACCTGCTTCTGGCTCACTGCATGATTTTCTCATTGTTTTTCTTGAATATTGTTTTTCCCTTCTTTGTAACACTTGTCTGTAGTGAGACGTCACATTGTCATTAATAAGATCAATGCAACGGCCTGCTAAAGCTTTATCTGGGTGATTCTTTTCAGCAAAACTTTGCAGTTCTTCCCATACTGCACACATTTTCTTAATTAATGAGGAAGGGACATCCTCTACTGCCTCCTCCTCCCCCTCCCTTAGAGATCTGTTATATTGCCTTGCTAGTTCAACAACACGTATACCATTTTCATGTTTATGAATGATCTCTTGTTTTTCCTCTATGATCATTCTCACATGTGATTTCTTCCCTTGAACCTTACCACTGGCTTTCTTGGGACCCATGGCAAGATATATAATAACAATTTTTATGCTCAAATAGCAAAAGAATCCGAAAAGAAACAGTAAATCCTTGCGAAGAATTCGTGCGGAATAGTCACTGGGCGCGAGGCACTGGTAAACTGAGGCGTGATCGCTGTGCCACCACGCGCTAGGTCAGCCGTACGCCTATCAACAAACTCGTATCCCGAGGTAAAGTTCGTATCCCGATTCAAATTTTCCGAACAAATTGGGCTCGTAACACGAAAAGTTCGTAAACGGGCATTCGTAAACCAAGGTATCACAGTACCACCATTTACACCAAAATTTTTACAAAACCACAGTGTAATTTTATATACTCTACTGTAAGGAAAATATGAAACTGTAAATATGGAAAACTGTCAGTCACAATTGTCCTTGACTCCAACTAGTCAAACTTATGAATAAAAAATCTAGGGTTTTGGCAAGATTCAAATTCGTCTGTTATGATGATTAGCAGGAGGGGCTGAGAGCCTAATGGTTCAGAGTACAGATCACCTCGTTATTCCTTGTACTATGACTTGCCGAGATGTTGGGATACGCTTCTTCAGCATGAGATTAGTAAACAAGTGGAATGAGCTAGAAGGGGAGGCAATTGAAATTAACTCCACACAGTTTTTCAATTACAGCTAGGTGTACTCACTTAGTTGTGCTTGCAGGGGTCGAGCTTTCGTTCTCTGGTTCTGCCTCTCAACTGTTGTACAGATTCTGGAGTTTATTGGGCTCTATCAAATCTACATTGTGTACAGTTATGTAAGCATCCAATTAGGAGGCAATGATAACTGCATTACTGACCTCACCATAGGGTAAAAATTATAAATTCCTTCACAAATCTTACCTTGTGAAACTATGAAACCTTCCAGTGCTCAGTTTTACAAACACTTGGCTGTGCCTTATTATTTCTGTCATCAACAGGTTCGCTCAGCACTGCAGCTACTTCAATCAATTAGTCACAATATTGGTGGCGTTGATAATGAAGGTGGAGGCGATGAAGCAGGCAGCTGTTTTACTGTTGCAAGCAACGAAGGTGGACGAGTAGGAGGATTGAACGTCAATAGCGGGGTTTCGAGCAATTACATGCAAGAAAATAGATTGACACCGCTCTGCAGATCTTCACCAAGCGTATTTGCTACTTGTCATGATGCACGCATATCCTCCTCATTACCACGGCACCGCAGTCGGAATGTCTCGACCCAAACTGACCTTCCCATAGATGTTCCTGTTGCCGTTCTTGAAGCATTTGTTTTAGCTCATCGTTCTAGAGTTCTTCAACTCTTGGGCATTCAAGAAGTTGTTAGTTCTTCCCCAGATACACCTTCCAATAGTGTCCATGTCATTCCACCTTCTACTTCATCACAAACTAGTGAAGTCCATACATGTATTGTTATTCATGATAACAGCAGCAATAGCTGTTCGGAGACCTCTACACCTGACCAAGATGATCCTTACTCTAGAACTAAACAAGCATTAGAGCCACAAACTGTACAAACTCAAAACCCCTCCATTACAATACAAGCTCCTACAAATCTTGTAGGAGATAGCAGAAATAACAATAACAACAAACCTTTAGGCCCATCCATAGAAACCTACCAACTAACAAACCTACAAAACTGGAATCCAGTCTCGCATTTAAGTAGAACAGTCATGTCAACTTCACGAAGTACTGGTAGCCTGAAAGATATTCTTTCTATAAACTTCAATAATCACCCCCAACAGCTTAACCAACATAGTAATAACTCTCCATACTTATTACAATGTCAGATAGAGAATAATGATACAGATCCCACTAAAACTTTAGTACATTATGGGTGTTCTTCAGACTGTCCAACTGATCTCTTATGCTTATCAGAAGTTAACCATACCATGACACGCAGTACCTCCATGCCTGTAGCCTCCTTCAAATACCTACCAAATCTTGCAAGCACTTCCTTATTGGCAAACACACACTTATCACAGCTCGGCAGAGATACAGAACCACATACATCAGGGCTGCCTGAATCTTCAGGCATGCTTCCAAATACAACAGAAGAATTGCAAAATACTGTTCAGACACCCACAATTGTTACAGACTTCTAGCTATGGATATGTGACATGCTTATGATTAACTGAGTCGCCAGTACAAACGAAAATGGGAGATCTCGTGTAGGCTGTTTGCATCTTGGATTTTTCGACAGAACCTTACAGTAATGATGGTACGCTGCTTGTCAAAGAATACTTGAAACCATTTCATCTAAATTTAGCTATATAGTTTCAGCATGATCTCACTGTTCATTAAATTAAATGTAATGCCACTATCCTAATCAGTGTCTCTTCATTAAAGAAGAACTACATTGCCTAAATGTTTTCTAGCATCGTGCATGGGCAACACATATATTGCCTTGATACCAGCCATGATCAAAATATTATCCCAAATATCTTGAGCATAACACTGCACACTTCAGAATCTCTCTTCATTTTATGGAATAAAAATTAAAATGATTGAATCCCATTTTGAATATAAACTGTTGGTGCAGCCTCTTAATAGTGTTCACAAACACAGCCTCGGCAAGCGCACTGCATTATAGTGTAATACTAGTTAATTGTATGATTCCTCTCATTTTCATTGTTTCTGGAATCATGGTTAACTAATTATGCTATTACAATTCACACTAATAAAAAAATGCCAATTAAAATATATTAGCATAAATAATGCTGTACATCTTTATTTAACATTCAAAATGGGTAACTGCAGCCATGTGTGTACTATGTATATATATACAGTATATATATTATGTACTACCATATTATATATACTGTATATGTATATATATTGTCCAAAAAAAATATATATATTTTAATGTAAAAAGCAAACACAATTTGAGCAGATGTTACTACGTGCCATATTTTAACTTAAAAATTAATATTCTCTTTACATAACTTTAGGTCATCTACCTCTATTACTAATAGGTTTAATGTTTATAAATATCTCCTATATTATAATATGTATATACAAATTTATAATGAATATATTCCACATATACCAGATTGTTAAGTAGCAGCATTGCTTCTGCTGCAGAAACTCAGAAGTACATTGAAGTCCAATGTATGTATTTTATTTTTGTGATTTGTGGTTGTCATTGTGGCTTTTATGGAACTCTGTTGGAATATTGCATTGCCATGTGATTTTTGTGTACAACATTTGGTTACAAAAGCAAATGTGTATTGACTATTAATGGGAACATTAATATTTATGGTGTAAGACTCTGTATTGGAGAAACTTAAATCATTCGGGTATTAATTTGTAAACAAAAAGCATAATTCTTGAGAAATTTAGTAATCTTGTGTCTTGTAATAATTAAGACAAAGAATGAATAGGAGAATTATAAAGCTAAATTATATTAAGCTGTTTGAATAAGTGTGATACACAAATTTCATAGCATAATGTTGAATAATTTGTTATAAATAAATCAAGAAGTGAAGACCACACATTCCGTCGTTATTTCATTTTAGCTTTGCATAATATTTTTACACACTAAGATGTTACTGTGATTAGTCTTGACTGAGGACTTGACTTTCCTGTGTAAGACGAGCGGTGCACACAGAAAAAGCTGACATTTGTTCGACTGTCACTTACATGAAATTGTGTGCATTGAAGAATGAAATACATGTTAAAAAAATTCTGAGTTTATTTAGTAAACATGTTACTGTTTACTGCCAGTGATATGTAAAAATAAGACAGTACATATGATTATGTGTACTGTATTTGTTAATTTTAAGAACGATTCAGAAAATGTGTTATAACATTACACGACATGGGATTAAAATGCGTGCATACAGTGCTGTAGCCCACTTGCGTACAGTATACTCACGTACAATTAAATCTGTGTAATCGGGGCATCCCAAAGGATTAGTGTTGTGGTGTCTGCATAAAAAGGTTCACTCACCCTTTTTTGTAGAACAGGCTGGTCTTGATAACCAAGAAGTAGTTATAGTACAAAACTTTACTTAAATATAGATACATTATTTAGAATATTTACAAATAAAGTTCAATTATACAAAAAAAAGGGTTGAATGTAATAAGTGGCTCTTTCTGGAAGGACCTCTGTGGATCCCTAAAGCAAACTCGCTGAGATAGCTATCCCCCACAACTGAGCTACATCACTCGTGCAAGTGCTGTATGGCCTACTGGCATCCAGAGCCAAATTGAGCTGATCAGGAAGTAAGTGATTATCAAAAGAAGGCACCAAGCCGGGAAGACTATGTAACACCATCAAATGTGTGTAATATTCAAGTGGAGCTAAATATCACTAAGGATGTTAATACTAGAACAAAAGCACATAAGGCGAAAGATATCAAAAGTATCCGAGTCACCAAGGATTCTATCGAGGGACAGTCGGGAAACAAGACACACGGACATCCTGGAAGTCAGGACATTCAATCAGGATATGCACAACTGTAAGAGGGGACACTGCAGTTTGGACAATAAGGAGCAAATTGGTGCTCCATTAAGTGCCCGTGAGTTAAACGTGTATGGCCAGCTAATCAAGAAACAGCTCAACAACCTAGAAAAAAAATTGACCCCCTTCAAGAAACAGAAGGCAGCACCTTAACTACCTCTGCCACCGAAGTGGAAGTGGTGAGTTCCTAGACCAGGCTCACACACCCCTAAAGCATCATTACCCCGGACTTCGAAAACCTCAGACATTTCGGAACTTGAAGCAAAGGGCAATGCCTCTGAGCTCACCAAACAACAACAGCCAAACATGAGGAAAAGACATAGGAACAAATTTGGAGCAAGTAGAAAATGTCAACTGATCCAAGATGGAGTTCTGAAAAGACAATGGGGGACGACCCTGGGACAACCACGTTGACACTGAGCTACAACCTATGTACTGTACAAGGACAAACCTAACCCATAAAGTGGCAGCCCACTGATAAGCCTAGAACCTAGAAGGACACTTGGCTAAAAGAAGAGACCCAATGACCACAAGTGTTGCAGGCTTCATGGTGGAACATATACCCTCACCCAACAGGCGACATAACAGAGGGAGAAACAATGGCCATCAGAATATATCAAAATCGAAGCATATCTTTCAAACTCTCACCCTGTGAGAGCAGATTTGGAGGCTGATCCATAATAAACTTACAACTGCAAAGGACTTGCCAAGTCCCGAAGGGTAGACTAAGCAGGAACACCACTTGCCGAACATAACAAACACTGGAAACAGCTTAGGGGTAAATGTTGATTTAAAGGGTGTGAGCAGTGTGCCACATAATGAGCCTGTCAATAAACTATGTGATCCTTAAATGAAAATCAGGCTGCCCTTATCCACAAGATTTTGCAAAAGAGTCAAAGACCCATGCACCTTACCTTGAGGTTACCTTGAGGTGATTCCGGGGCTTAGCGACCCCACGGCCTGGTTGTTGACCAGGCCTCCTTGTTGCTGGACTGGTCAACCAGGCTGTTGGATGCGGCTGCTCGCAGCCTGACGTATGAGTCACAGCCTGGTGGATCAGGTATGCACGTATCAGTGCACAGCCAAGGGTATGGCACCTTCCAACAGGAAGCCAGTCTCTTGGAGATAGCTAAACAAACCACTCAAAGAAAACACTGGCCAGGCAGGGGCAATACTAGCGAACACCTATAGACGAGAACTCTAGGCACATGTAGATCCAGGCGAACATTTACCCAGAGTTCATACATGAAGTGATGCATAAATATACAGGTACAGTATTGTGAAACAAATTCTAAAATACAAAACACATACACAAGCATATGGCCCCTGCAGGATAAAAGCAAAGTGCAAGATGGCCAGCACTTACCTAGAAAACTGGGACCCAAAGGGCACTGGGGTGAGAAGAAAACCATAACAGCAAATGTTATAAATGTAAGTACCAGGCAATATGACTGAGGGTTCAAGAATGGTGGATTGAGAAGGAAGGTGCGTAGTCTCTTGGTGATGGGCAAGTGTGTGCACCTTTCTGGTGGTCTATTCTTGGTTAGGGTGAGCTACAATCCCCTGCTCCTTGAGCATCTTCAGAGGGAGGGGGGGGCAGGTTTTAGCCTCTAGTCCCAAACAGGCTTATATGACTAACAAGGGTCAAGGATTGGATTGAATTCACAAGGACAAGGATTGTTATGGTTTGAATAGGGTGGAGACTGCCAGGTAGAAAGCATATTCCAGCTTAATTTACATTCTCTAAAAATGTGAAGAGTTAGGGGTGACATGCTAGAGGTATACAAGTGAGTGAATGGGCATAACAAGGAGGAAAATATTAATTATTAAATATATTAACACAAAACAATGGATATAAATTTGATACGTTTAGATGTAGGAAAGACCTGGGTAAATACTGTACTGGTTTGGAAACGGTTGTTGATTTGTGGAACAGATTACCTGATGACGTAATAAACGTGGGATCCCCTGATTGTCTCAAGCGTGGATTAGACATATATATGAATGAGTTTGGGGTGGATATAAATGAAAGCTGCCATGCAACGTGCCTCACAGGAGGCATCTCCCGTCACGCAGGGTGCCCTCGCACCTCCACAGATCTCCAGTATCAGCTCTTGATACTGGTAATGGCTCAAAAGGGCCACCACTTACGGGCTATTCATGCCCGTGCCACCTTTTGGATGGCTTATCTTCATTAATCATCATTACTCAATCAATCAACGTGCCTTTTGCGGTTTCTTTCATTCTTATATGTTGCAGCTGACTACCAACATGTCAAGTTCTATTGATGGGGCTTACATCCTGCAGATGGGGGCTTACATCCTGCAGATGGGGACTTGCATCCTGCAGATGGGGGCTTACATCCTGCAGATGGGGACTTGCATCCTGCAGATGGGGACTTGCATCCTGCAGATGGGGGCTTGCATCCTGCAGATGGTGGCTTACATCCTGCAGATGGGGGCTTACATCCTGCAGATGGGAGCTTACATCTTGCAGATGGGGGCTTACATCCTGCAGATGGGGGCTTGCATCCTGCAGATGGGGACTTGCATCCTGCAGATGGGGGCTTGCATCCTGCAGATGGGGGCTTACATCCTGCAGATGGGGGCTTGCATCCTGCAGATGGGGACTTGCATCCTGCAGATGGGGACTTGCATCCTGCAGATGGGGACTTGCATCCTGCAGATGGGGACTTGCATCCTGCAGATGGGGACTTGCATCCTGCAGATGGGGACTTGCATCCTGCAGATGGGGACTTGCATCCTGCAGATGGGGCTTACATCTTGCAGATGGGGCTTACATCCTGCAGATGGGGGCTTACATCCTGCAGATGGGGGCTTACATCCTGCAGATGGGGGCTTACATCCTGCAGATGGGGGCTTACATCCTGCAGATGGGGGCTTACATCTTGCAGATGGGGGCTTGCATCCTGCAGATGGGGACTTGCATCCTGCAGATGGGGACTTGCATCCTGCAGATGGGGACTTGCATCCTGCAGATGGGGACTTGCATCCTGCAGATGGGGGCTTACATCCTGCAGATGGGGGCTTGCATCCTGCAGATGGGGGCTTACATCCTGCAGATGGGGGCTTACATCCTGCAGATGGGGGCTTACATCCTGTAGATGGGGGCTTACATCCTGCAGATGGGGGCTTACATCCTGCAGATGGGGGCTTACATCCTGCAGATGGGGGCTTACATCCTGCAGATGGGGGCTTACATCCTGCAGATGGGGGCTTACATCCTGTAGATGGGGGCTTACATCCTGCAGATGGGGGCTTACATCCTGCAGATGGGGGCTTACATCCTGCAGATGAGGGCTTACATCCTGCAGATGGGGGCTTACATCCTGCAGATGGGGGCTTGCATCCTGCAGATGGGGGCTTGCATCCTGCAGATGGGGGCTTACATCCTGCAGATGGGGACTTGCATCCTGCAGATGGGGGCTTACATCCTGCAGATGGGGACTTGCATCCTGCAGATGGGGACTTGCATCCTGCAGATGGGGACTTGCATCCTGCAGATGGGGACTTGCATCCTGCAGATGGGGTCTTGCATCCTGCAGATGGGGACTTGCATCCTGCAGATGGGGACTTGCATCCTGCAGATGGGGACTTGCATCCTGCAGATGGGGACTTGCATCCTGCAGATGAGGGCTTACATCCTGCAGATGGGGGCTTACATCCTGCAGATGGGGACTTGCATCCTGCAGATGGGGGCTTACATCTTGCAGATGGGGACTTGCATCCTGCAGATGGGGGCTTACATCCTGCAGATGGGGACTTGCATCCTGCAGATGGGGGCTTACATCCTGCAGATGGGGACTTGCATCCTGCAGATGGGGGCTTACATCCTGCAGATGGGGACTTGCATCCTGCAGATGGGGGCTTACATCCTGCAGATGGGGGCTTACATCCTGCAGATGGGGACTTGCATCCTGCAGATGGGGACTTACATCCTGCAGATGGGGACTTGCATCCTGCAGATGGGGGCTTACATCCTGCAGATGGGGACTTGCATCCTGCAGATGGGGACTTACATCCTGCAGATGGGGGCTTACATCCTGCAGATGGGGGCTTACATCCTGCAGATGGGGCTTACATCTTGCAGATGGGGCTTACATCTTGCAGATGGGGGCTTACATCCTGCAGATGGGGGCTTACATCCTGCAGATGGGGCTTACATCCTGCAGATGGGACTTACATCCTGCAGATGGGACTTACATCCTGCAGATGGGACTTACATCCTGCAGATGGGACTTACTTACTGCAGATGGGACTTACATACTGCAGATGGGCCTTACATACTGCAGATGGGACTTACATCCTGCAGATAGGGAAGTCACTAAATGCATCTTCGTCCAGCAGAGGAGGAACATATAGAGGAGTTATATCTCCATTACTATAAAAACTAGTCATCAATTAACTAAAGAGAAACAAAATATACAATGTCTTGATAGCAGCATATTAAGGTGAGAAAATCAACAAAGATATATTAAAGAAATAAAACCATGAACTATTAATCATGATTGATAAGTAATTATCAAAAGAAGGCACCAAGCTGGGAAGGCTATGTAGCACAGATTGATCAGACATTGCTAAGTGGAACATTGTCTCAAAATGTGTTGTACTTTACTGGCTGTGATATAACAGGCCTACTTTGCTGTATGCAATATTGTAACTACAGTACAATCTTTTATGTACAAATGTGTGTCACTAAATAGAGTCCATAGCACTTTCCAGTCCTTTTGTTTCTTCATATTTAAAAGGGGGATAAAATAAATGTAAGCCTATTTTGGTAATAATAGTAGTCTAGACAAAAGTATCAAACTCTTACATACTGTATCTGCAATATTCATATATTTGAACTAGCCTATTCCTGTGCATTATGGGAGGATTAAGTCACTGTATTGTATTAGAAACTTGGGGCATACAAGCACTCAAGCTACATGAGCTCTCGAGTACAAAATCAATGAGGTTTAATTCTTGGAAAATGTATAAACTTAGCACTCTTTGTAAATAACTTGAAACTTGGTGAACCTCTATGCAACGTGGCAAAGAAGCTTTTACACGTTACAACCACATGCTTTGGGATCAGCATGCACAACTGGTTCATCCCGATCCCAGTCTTCATCTGTAGTGCTGATTGTGGTACTGACGTTGTTATATTGATCACAACCAAGCTTACCTAAGTGACTGCTTTCCACTTCATCACTTAACCATTCTTCATCTTCACCAGAAGAAATATTTTCGTCCCAAAGTTGTAACTTTCCCTGCCAGTCATCGCCATTGCCACTTGTCTCAAAACATTCATTTTCTAATGCCAAACTGAAAAATAGCAAGATACAATATAAGTAACATTTCAAGGGTGACCCAATGAAGGCACCACATCTCCTCCGCCTCTGGCTTCTCCTAAGACAAACATTAAATCAGGAATGTAAGACGAGGAGAATGTTTCACAATACTGAAATAAATTCAGTCTATCCTCCCATTCCCATCTCATTTCTTTTTTTAACTAAGACGGTTTCATTAAGAGTGGTGCTATGTTCCTAGTGCAACTGCAAGCCAAGAGCTGTTACCCTACATTAGCTCATCTGAAGCCTGACCATTGAAACTCATTTATATGATGAGCTTATTAATAGCTAATGCTAAGTTAAAATTGTGTTAAGTTATTGGATGAAGCTGGAGCAAATTGTGTATCAGAGCCTTCATATGGTCCCCTGACTTATTTCACATATATCTACACAATGAGTGACTATGTTCCAGATGCGAGTCAGCCTAGGAATGAGTGGACACTGATGGGACACTGATGGAGTGATGTTCTTGAGAATGGCTCGGCCAGATGAGGCTGTTAATGACTGAGCGCCTTGTGTTGTGGTTGCCAGCTCTTGGGTGTCCACAAAGTTGACCCAAGCTTCCAGCCTTGAGAACATTGGTCATGTACCCAACAGCAAGCCCGCCAACATCTCTCCAGTGTTGAAGGCTCCTATGTACTGACCAGTCAACCCAGAGTTGGTCTAAAGACAAAACAGTTCTCTACCTGGTCCAGAAGTTGGATAAATAATGAGGGGGAGGTCATCTATGAGAGTGGTGCACACTTAAGATGGGAGTCATCTTGTGCTTCATATAAGATTTTGCAACCCTTGTTGCCGACAAGATACAAGATACTCCTCAGGACTTAGGTTTCTTAGCTGTCTTACTTGTTAGGTTCAGCAAGTGGCTCTTCATTGTCATTAAACAGTTAAACTTCATTTTCAAGATGTCAATTTCATCACTGAACACTAGGCTTTTGCCATTCATTTGTTTACTGGTCACTGTTGCCATATCATAGTTTCTCGTTATCATTGCTTGTGATCTTGCCCACAAGTCTAACGCGTCATCACCTACCCTAGGTAGATATTGATATTAGTAATGTAATTAAAAGATGGTATTTATTCTTTTTCATATCTAAAGGTCCGAGTGGAGTCACCAGCATAGGCCTGAGCTTCAGGAATGACGTACAGTAGATCAATGAAGGAGACATTGAACAGGTGCCCAAGCATACAACACTGTGGTTTACTAGCACAGATGGAGTGGCTTTTTATTTCTGCTCCATTAAGGACTGCCCGTAGGAGTCTGTTCTTGAAGGAAGTCCCTTATTAGCTGTAAGATGGAGCCTCGAGATACCTAGTGCTTGAAGTTTTGCCAGTAATCCAAGATGCCATGGTATGCAATGTGGACATATATGGATGGCCAACATCCATGGCCATGGATACTGACCATGTAATGTCCAATGCAACAACACAGCTAATCTTGGAGAAATTTAATGACTAATGACACCTAGAGAAGATGTTTAGCAAATAATCAGCAGCAAAATTACTTTTTTCTAAAGCCATATTGTTAATCACATAACAAATGAGAATGATAAAAAAATGTTTTAATTTGTCAAGTCTTGTCATTGTCAAGTCTTGAGAATTGTGCCTGTAATCAAAAGAAATGACACAGGTCTGTAGGTTTGGTCTGACACAGGTTTATCAACTACTAAATGGCTCTTCATTTTGTGAACGGAAAGTACATCTTTTTTCTTCCATAAGAGCCATATGCCTTGAGCTAGGAGGAATCGGGAGAGACGAGACAGAGGGGTGAAGCCAGCAGGTCCAAACAGCCGCACAATAGTCTCAGGCTGATGTTATGCAGCCTCACTGCCTTATTGAGGTTAAAAAGATTTAAGGAAACAGTGAGCTTCAACCTGTTGAATACCCACTGCAGACAGTTTCAATGTAGTGTTTGAAACAAGCTGTGTAGGATGACATTCTGGGTCAGAGAAATGCATCTTGGCAGCAAAAGGGTGTGCCAGTAGGGCAGCCTTTTCCTGATTGCAGCAGTCCCATCTTTTTGGTTTAGTGGTGGGATTGTGTCAGGTGATAATTCTTGTCGATATTTAAACCATGGCTGATTTGAAGGCTTGCTCACATACTCTCATTCTCTATTTCTCATTTTCTTTATCTTTCCCTTTTTTAATTTTTTTCTTACTCGCATTTTCTTTCATTCCCTCTCGAGCTCTTTCGCTGAATCTCTTTCTCTTTTTCCCACCCCCTGCCATTTAAGATATAGTGGTCTACTTGTAAATTACCTCTCAGAAGGATTAAAAAAGATCACCAATTAATTTTTGGTACTGATCTTGATGTTCCACTTTCCCAATCCTGAGCCGTCCATGTAAACTCTGAGAGCAGGAACTACCGTTGGCCATGATCTCGCAAACATTATTGAATGCCCAATCATTAGACCCTCAGACGAGATAATGCAGGCAATTGATGACATGCTCCCGAATGACTAACCATCTAGCGAGATAGGAATTTTTAGCATCACAAATACATACAATTTCTCACCAAGTATGCTTTCTTTTTATTTATGATGATATTCAATACATTGGGAACATCTATAGCCTGGTAGAGTTTTGAAATAACTTAAACTATGAATTATTTCTGAAGGTACAGTATATATGGTGGAAGAACACCATTTTATTCATAGAAATGTAATAAATATGGTGAAAACCACACCACCCCATCCCTCAAAATTTTTTATGCTACAATGTTTAAAAAAAAAAATCAGGAATATCTGATGTAATCAACACCCATTTTTACCCCATCTAAAATTACACATAAAATACCCATTCCTTTAAAAACAAAACAAAAAACTGCCTTTTCCTTACATCTACCAAACACACAGCAGCCTTCTCCAACAAATTTGCAAAACAAAAAACAAAAATTCCATATCAAAACATATTTAACTGTACCTGATGAAGCTACTCGATATCTCTTGGTCACAATGTTTATTAACCCAAGCCGAGAGAGACATCATAGGAATGACAGCATACTTGTGGTTCACTATGTAGAAGACATATTCGTGCCCATTTACTCTTTTCTGATTAATTACTTCTTCGTTTGTAACATTTTCTGTATAGAACAATATTTGTTCTTTATCTATGGTATCACTCCCTTCTGAATAGCATGTTTCCTCACATTGATTCTTCAAGGAGAGTGATCTCAAAGGCAATTCGTCCAAAAGTGTGGCCTTCGGATCCTCTTCAATACTCCTTTGTTCACTGTCTTCTTTCTTCTCTTGCCCCACCTCTTCCTTCATCCTCCTCCTCCTCTCTAATTTCCACTGACTTTTGTCTTCCGTCTTGTCTCCCCCAAGGTCCACTTCTGTCTCCCCATCCCAGTCTTCTGTCTTTCCTTTCCAGTTGTTTGCCTTCCCATCCCAGCCTTTATATGATTCTTGACTCTGCTCACTTGAGCGAAGGTAGATTTTCAGGTCAAAAAATCTACCCAGTGTATAAGCTCTGTCCTGTTCCTCTTGAGTACGTAAGTCATATGGATAGTCAAATTCGGATATTACAACCCACGACTCTTCAGATGTTTCGGCAGTAACCACATGCTCTGCAATCTCTTCGGTATACACGCAACTTTGATGAGAGGAATTATCAACAGTCACTTCATCTTTCTTAATACAAGACAATAAACCTCCGGTGCCCGATGGTGACTGGAGAAAGGTTGCCATCTGTGTGCAGTAGGTGTTTTCGGGCCCTAATCCACACCCAGAAATCTCCAGGTAATAATCACCATACTCTTCCAAGATTCCTTGACACCTGTCAACAGAAAAGCTACATTGTCTTTTACAATTTCTAGTAAGAGCACTATATATTTGATAAGCAAAATGTTGATAATATTAGCAAGCACAAAATGCTCGAATAGCACATGAAGTAGATCAACTAAGTTACTACAGGCATAAAAAAAAATTACTACAGGCATAAAAAATAATGGCAAGGCTGTGGTTAATTTTTCACTTGCTACGGTACAAAAAGGTCGAATAGAGATTGGCATGTGAAGTAAGTACAGTAATTATCAAAAGAAGATTGGCATGTGAAGTACCTGGGATGGACCCAGACTGAGTCCAGAATGAGTGTAAACAATAACATCGCAGGGAAGGCTGCAGACCCCCAAGGGTACTAACATAGGCTTAAGTGAGTGTTTTGAGTGTAGAAAATGGAAGGGGAGTGAGAAAAAACAGTGCATGATCAGCAGTCGTGCAAAAAATATTGAAGGATATTTACAAGTTTAAATACCCAAGATATGTGACTTAAGCAAGATAAATTCCTGCAAGCAAAGATGTGTGTGTGTGTGTGTATCTGAGTGTGCATGCAATACACAAACAAAAGTGATGCTCATGATGAAATCTCTTGTAGAAAAAAACATCAGAAGAAGTGTAGCTAAAAGGCTGCAAGACGGAGCAGCTGTGCCAATACAGTACTTGTGCAGCAAGAGAAAGAAGAATTACTCAAGAACAGCAGAGATTAAAATTGCGAGACGCAAGAAGAAATAACAAGCTTTAAAATTAAAAACACTCTGAAAGTGCAAAATCTGCAGTTCATAACACAATCATACATGTATATTATGGTGTGATACTCATGATGAACAGATTTATTTAATTTTTATTTACTTATATCAAATCTACAAAAAGGTACAATGGGGTGTATATGTACAGATTTTTGTGGTTAAATGGTGCATTCATGCGAAGTCACTTAAATAAAAACATGGATGAGTTCCAAGGTAGAAAAAAAGGGAGATGTGAAAAAAGAGAAGATTTGACAGAAGTAATTGTGTGAGAAAATGTAATCTGGCTGTAAGCACGTACAGTGGCGATGAACACCTCCAAGTAGTTTTTATGCAAGGAATTTATGGTTAATGACATTTTGTTGTCTATCATTCATGTGTATTCCTTTCATACACTGATGGATGTAGTTTGAGTGTGGAGGTACAGTATTAGTTTTCTCTCGTGATACCAAGTGAAAATAATAACACGTAATGCCAGGCGTTACTGTAAATATCTTCGTTCTTCTTCTATAGACCTATTATTATTATTATTTCCCCCCCCCCAGCTTCCCCATTATCTAAATGGAAAATGAGATAAAGGAGATTGTAAATGACAATAAAAACTCACATACCTCAAATATCAGCCCAGAACTATGGTATTGTTCTAAACTTACCACTGATAAAATTCCGTTGCAGTCCATTCAAACTTGTGATCCCAATGTCTGAAGGTTGAAGTACGGCCTGGGATAAATTTGTTGAAGTCGGCATTTGGAGTAGTAATGATTACTAGTTTTGGACTAATGTCTTTGAATACGCATTCAACAAGCTTCGGCAGCTCTGACTCATGCATGTGTTCAATTCTGTGAGAGAAAAATTATTTCACAGCTTTATGAAAAAGTTATTAAATATATACAATGTATGTGCAGTAGTTAATACCATTAATGTATGATGCATCATAAAAATCAATTACAGTATAACAAAGAAGTTAACCAAATTCAGTTAATAATGAAAGAAACTATAAATTTCAATTTTGTATTTGAAGTAAATATACTTAACTCTGAATACTGAACTAGGTAAGTTTTGTTGGGCAGGGATATTCCTGCGTGGGCCCTAGGCCTCTAGCTGGCCTACTAAGTGTTACACATTTCTTTCTTACTTAGGCAGTGAATGAGCACTGCCTAAATCCCAAAACCTTATCCTGACCCCTTCCCAGTACTATATAGTCGTAATAGCTTGGCATCTTCCCCTGATAACTCCCTCTTCCTGGTTTATATTAGCATTTGGCAAGATTTATGAAACATCGATGGCAATATTTTTATAGTTGACCACCGGAATAATCTTAACATTACTTAGAATAACCCTGAACAAATCCATATCAATGTTAGGGGAAAATAGAGTGTAGAATAGAGAAATTAAAATGGAACAAAGGGTGGACAAATGAAAATGAACTACAGAATGGAGAAATGATGCAAATGTTGACCAGACTACACACTAGAAGGTGAAGGGACGACGACGTTTCGGTCCGTCCTGGACCATTCTCAAGTCAATTGTGGATTAATCAAGACTATCGACTTGAGAATGGGACAGACCGAAACGTCGTCGTCCCTTCACCTTCTAGTGCATGGTCTAGTCAACATACTTCAACCACGTTATTATGACTCATCGCCTGCAATGATGCAAATGGATTGAAAATGCATGGAAAACACATGGGGGAAAAAATGCTTACAAAATAAATAGCACATTATTGAACTAGTTTAGAACTTGAGAAACACACAGACAAAATGGAGGGGAATAAAGAGTGTACACAAGGAAAGTTTAAAGAATAGTGAGAAAACGGAAAGCCTAATTCAAGATGAAAATATATAATGAAAAGATTACTGTATCTCAATTTAAGAAATGAACTGCTTTATGATTGTTTTATTTTCCTACCAGAGTTGAACATAAACTTTACATTTGAAAAGTTAACTCGATGCCATGAAAGAGCAATAAGTCAAATGGTACAATTTGGATATTGCATTTTCTTTATTTACAGTAGTAATAACATGCCTAAACAAACCATGACTTCAACTCTTGCAAACACATGAAATCAATTATCTTTTGTCGCAAGAATCTCTCTAGGGAAAAAGAGATTGAGCCTATTCCTTCATCGCCTGTTCAACCACAACACGTTTGCATGTTCAAGAATAACGAATTAACAACAATAACAGCAGCTATAACATCTAGACAAGAGTTCACCACTCTCTACACCCTAGTCCCCCTACCCTCCCCCCCACAGGACACCTGGTGTCTGCAGAGGCCCGTGCCACTCTGATCATCAACTTTTTTTATGTTTAATGTGCATGGCATTTCATCTGCCCTAATAGCCACTGCTCTATTAGTAATTTTACCGTAACACTTTACAAAACTGTCTTTTCTTCAGCAAGAGCAGATCATCTCATGCCCTTGGAAAGTAGAAGTAAACATAGAGGTACTTGCTGAAAACACCCCGAGCAGTGTTATCTGACCACTCCCGCACCCTACTCTCCAGCCCCAGTACGTGTGTCGTACGTATTATACTTGTCGGGATGCACATTAGGGTTGGAGGAAGGAGTGAACCTTACACGAGTAGTGCTGCTACGTGATGGCAGTCAGGCAAAATGGGTATCTGACTTAATAATGTAGGTTAGATCAGATGTAGGGGTTAGAGGAAGCTTCAAATTAATGTGTTTCTAAACATGATGTCACTGGCACTCTGATTGTGTGTTGCTGATGAGGGAACAATAGCATGAAACATGTGAGAATTATGAGAAATGTTTATAGGGGGTTATTCTCTTGCCTTAGCTTTCCCTTTAATTAGGGGTCAATGTAGTAACAGGTACGGTTATGGTTTTCAAAAGAAGGGAAAGGGATGTTATAGACCTTCTCCACAACATGGTGGCAAGACAGTGTTTCAAACTGCTGGATTTCAAACTGTGTAGGAAGAGTTACTGGAAGAGGAAGTAAGTTTTAAATACTTAGAGGCAAGTGTTAAATAAAAATGAGGCCATAGAAAGTGAAATAAAAGGATAATGAAAGAAAAGTGGTGGTAAAGTTTGGTGACTAGTATAATAGAATACAGTACAAATAGAATGTAAGTTAAGCAAGGGCAGAAAGATACAGATTACTCCCTACAACAGGGAAAGTACATTACTCACACCCCTGACATACAAAAGTGAAACTGGGTATGGACTTTGTGCTCAGAGACCAAGCAGAACTTAATTTTTTGTTATTAAATACTTAGAAGGATCTGGTGTATGTGGGATGGGTATACTGTACTAGCAATGAGGAGGTATATGAGAGATGTGGCACAAGTGAATGACACACGGCAAAGAAATGTGGAGTTACGGAAAAGTTGAACCGCAATACACAGAGGTGGCATCTTGAGGTTATCTTGAGATAATTTCGAGGCTTTAGTGTCCCCGCGGCCCGGTCCTCGACCAGGCCTCCACCCCCCAGGAAGCAGCCCGGGACAGCTGACTAACACCCAGGTACCTATTTTACTGCTAGGTAACAGGGGCATAGGGTGAAAGAAACTTTGCCCATTGTTTCTTGCCGGCGCCTGGGATCGAACCCAGGACCACAGGATCACAAGTCCAGTGTGCTGTCCGCTTGGCCGGCCGGCTCCCTGTATGGCATGGATAAGTTTAGTTCAATGTCTGAGAATCGTTTAAATGACAAGGGGCTAGAGAGAGAGAGAGAATGCTGTATCTGTTACCCAAATGCTGATTTTCAGTCTCCAGTTACTCCCAATCAGCTACATAATTCTGAAAGTTTTTTTTAGGCCCCATGGCATCAGTGTAGTAGTGTTCTAGCTCGACTGTCGATGATACAATTTAAGACAAATAGCAGCAATATATGTACAGAACCTTCAAAAGCTGCAGAAATACTATCCTCAGAATAGGGCTTTTTACAAGTTCATTACATTGATAAACATTAAATAAAACATGCCTAATAATTCATTAATGACGGCATTTACTATATTCGTGATTTTTACAAAATTCTATATATTTTTATACTAGGGTTTTGAATAATTATGTGAATATTCAAGTTAGAAAAGGCATTTTTTTTAAATATGTCACCATTTGCAATTCTGTCATTAAATAAATTCATACATTTAAAAAATTCAGACTCAAGATAATAGCTTTGTTTGAGGAATAACGCATACAAAGGGTTAATTAAGTGAGATAAATATGAAACACTGTACTGTACACACACACAGACAAACCCAAAACAGTGAGCAAAGTTAGTAATATATCAGTGAAGAATGTATCATACAAGTGTAAATTAGAGGACAATGTAAAACACATATGCCACTTAAAGTTAAAATATAACTCACAGTTCAATCATGGTGACCACTTGAGTCCCAGCGAGCAAAGGATCATATTTCCTGGCATCCCCACAAACTGCTTTAACATTTAGAGGCAGTTTACGCAAAAATAAGAAGTCGCCTACCAAGGGTTTAATGCGGTACTCATAATCCTGACAGAAAAATATAAAATACTCTATTGTTATTCAGAAAGAAAGAAATTTTAGGTTCTGAGTAGAAATGTGACCCATTCTGAGCGAGTCAGTTGGTTGCTCCAGACAGGTAATGCCTTCCTCTCACAAGGGTATTACTATACAAAAGCTAGGACAGGTAACTTCCCTCTTCCACAGGAGTTTTTTTCAAAATCCTCTGCTAGGGGATTAATGAGGGAAAGGAGGCACAGAAGTTCTCATCACAGTCTGGAATGATATCCAGATGGTACACACATTCATTCACACTCAAAAATCTCCTCCAAGCAATATTTAGCCTTATAGCCCGCCAAAAATCATTCTGCTAATAGCTACTTAGCCACCTAGTCAATACCCCAGACTGCAACACCCAAAGTCAAAAGAAGCTAGGGGCTGCCATCTCACATTCCTCCAGACTCAAACCCTTCACAGATCAGGGAAAATCGAGACAAATGGGAGGGAACTGGTGCACTGATCCTTTTGGCAAGAATACCCATGAAAAAATGGAACCAAGTTCTAAAAATTAAACCAGAGAACACTTCCTCATGTGGCAAAGTGAAGTAAGAAAAGGCTTCAGATGATGAAGAAACCCACTCTCCCAATTTTAGACAGTCAGGACCACAGACCCCCCACTAAAGGGAAGGTCACCAGAGAACAGGGACCAAAACATTACACAGCAGTGAGTGGTGGCGGGGATCAGATGCAGGTAAACATAAGTAACAAAAACAGACCGGCCAGGATACACCCCCTGGCCGGAAGTCTGAAGGACACAAGGAGGACAAAGTAATAGGAACTGTGCCATAACTGAAAAGCAGCAGTGTTAAGGACACATTCAAAAAGAAGAAAAACAAAGAATAGTCCTCCACACTTCCGTGGAAATAAACTCTAGCTCGGTCGACAGAGCATCGGCCTCACACACACGCGGGGTCCACGGTTCGAGTCTCCTGGAGCTAAGGTGAATGGAAAGAATAGCCCCCTTCTCCCCAACATGAAAATATCTTGGTGCCTTTTGTGAAAGGAGGTCAGAATAAGAAGCAAAAGACTGACCCAAGACAAAGACCAAGACAAAGACCAAGACAAAAGTGCCTCCCAGAATGTCTGAGAGTACATAAAACAAAAGTCAAGAGCAAGTGCTGAGAGATCAGCCGAGGCATTAACAACAACTGGACCATACCCTAAACTTCAGCCTGGAGAGACCTGGCTACAGGACTCATGTTGTTCCCATTCCCTAATCCTGTCAACCAGAAAGAACTGGGAAAAGATATGCTCATCAAAAGAAAAACAACCCAGCCATTTACTACTATCAAGTGCAACCTGTGAGAACAAACATATTGCACATGCACACAGTGGTGATATTACCACTAAACATACCCAAGTGTGTACCCACATGACTCGAACTGGAACTACATATCAAAAGCAGCAGCTCAAATGGAGAATAACCACAGCTAAAATACTAACCAATCCAGCACAGAGGAGTTAACTCTCTAAACAAAAAGTCAGAGCCACATAATGGGTTCAGGAACTGAACAACAAAAGGCATTTAGCTAAACAAATTATACCAATGATGAGCTAGCTACATAATTTGTTAAATGAACCTTATCTTCACAGTTTATGTTATCAAACTATCATCACTGTAACCTTAAGAAGCCCTAAAAAGAGCAAGAGTTTATTCACCGAGCCAGTTACACACATGGTGCATGACATGCAAAAACTGCGTAAAGTTTATATGTATGTAAAATTTATATGTAAAGAATATGTAAACATTCACTAATAGCACAGATTCATTGCACATGAAACAATGATTGATGATAAACATTTTTCTTTCCTGAATAAAATTTACTTTACTAAATTTACTATTAGTTGATTAAATAAAGGCCTCTTGTCTAGTCCAGCAGCACAGTAAGTACGAGTCAGGATGAAAGTGAGGGGGGTCCATCTCATGTCTACTCTGTTGATAGTCGGGGTGCTGGCATTACAGTATCAGGACACAGTTTGGTGTATTAACTGGGTGACCAACTAAGAATCCTCTATCTGATGGAAGTTCAATGTAATGACCAAGCAGCCAACCGATAATCATCTATACGGTGGCAGTTTGATGTAGCGACCAGGTGGCTGAATAATAACCACCAGCAGAGCGATACCTGTGTTTACGATATCAGCGTTAAACACGATATCAGCGTGTTTAACCCTTCAACTGTGCATTGCGACCAGGGTTGCTTGACGTCACTTTATCAGTGGTGCACGTTGCAACCAGGGATGCTTTTAGATCTAGCAAAAGATTTAAAGGTCCATGGATACAAGAGGCTGTCATTTCCTTCCTCAGGTCTACAGTAAACAGACACCATTAAAATAATATTTATATAACCAGCAGCCCTCCTGGGTGTGAGGACCTCAGTAATGAGACAAGAAGACTGAGACATGGTGTGTATATATATATATACACAGCTCTCACAGCACTGCTGTGCAGCTTATGCCCACAGCATCACAATAAATAATGAAACAAATCACTGTGATTATTTTGTGATGATAGTATCATAGTAGATCCTGCCTGTGATAAAGACTATGTACAATGTTCAGATACCAGTGAACACAATGCTGGTTATGATGTTCAAAGCAGGAGGCACATAACCACAGCACACAGCTGAGGTTTCATGCATCTAGCATCATGAAATGGAACCCCCATGTTCCTTTAGAAAATAAACTTGTGGAGAATGGTTCACATTCATGATTTAGTGACAAGAGCTTGATAATAATAGCAATAGGATAAAAATCCACACTTGTGTATATGTGAAACTTATGTAAGGAGTTTACACCAAATGCAGGCGATGAGTCACAATAACGTGGCTGAAGTATGTTGACCAGACCACACACTAGAAGTTGAAGGGACGACGACGTTTCAGTCCGTCCTGGACCATTCTCAAGTCGATTGTCGTCATCCCTTCAACTTCTAGTGTATGGTCTGGTCAACAGCTTACACCAAGTCTTTTGCACTCTCCCGAGTGCTTTATTAAGGTCTGAGTATGTGGTTAGGACGGGACTTATATCTCAACGTCTAAATGCCTAAACGTCTAAAGATTAGATGTTGAGATGTAAGTCTCATTCTAATCACACACTCGGACCTTGACAAAGCACTAAGGAGAGTGCGAAAGACGTGGTGTAAATTCCTTACATAAATTTCACATGTACGTACACAAGTGTGGGTTTTTATCCTATGTTATTATGTCTGTGAGTGACATTAATAATAATAGCAATGCTGCGGTTCGAGTTAGCAATGTGCAAAGTATGCTGGAGGCATTTTGATGTACAGTATCAGGTGGCATCTCCTGCAGGGAGCATGCGACCTTAAGCTGTGCTTGGATTTCATTACCACACTCACCAGACCTGCTTAGTGGTTTGTTATGGTAGACAAAAGAATGAAGCTAGTTATATATAACATGCATATACAGAGTAATAACAGTAAAAACCAGCGTTGAATTTAATGAAACGCCATTGTCTGGGTGAGCCTCGGAGGCTCCCTGGAGCTATAGGACTGATATACGCTATATTAGTCTGAGGCTTCAGTCAATGGAGTTCTGCCTACTGGGGACCACGAGCCAGAAAGCCCCCTCAGAAAGACACAGGGAGGAATGGACTAGGAAAACCCTCTTGTATCTGGGGGTATTTCCTGTCTGCCACTGACTGGGGTTAGGCACCCAAAAAGGTAGGCATCTCAAAACAAACCCCACATGGTAGGAAAATGAAAAGAAAAACCAAGACTGAACAAAGAAACAACTCCCCAAAATAAAACAAGCAAACGTTAACCACCGCCTCTGCGCAGCCCTCTCAACCCTCCCCCCCTTCTCCCTCTGTGCAGTTCTCCATGCGGTTCATAGGAAAGGCAGCCCTAAACGCATGCAGTCCCAGTACACTGCAGGAGTATGTTACTCCTGACCTACACGCCACAAATAGCAGGAAACACCACAAGGGAACAAAATCTTGTAGGAAATTGAGGTCAGAGTTGACAAGCACCCCAGAGTGCATCAGCCTATGAACTGAAGGTGTGAGTAGCCTGCATGGGAGGGTCTGGGGTACCCCCTCCCCTTCCCAGGAAGAGGGAGGGCTGGGCAGATAAATGGCACAGCGGCAGTGAATGACGTTTGCTTATTTCTTTAAGTTTTGGAGAGTTCTGCCTCTCTGTTCGGTCTTCGGTTGTAATTTCTTACAGAGTGGTTTTTTTTGTTATGCCTACCTTTCTGGGTGTCTAACCTCGGTCGATGGCAGACATGGAATGCTCCTAAACACATAGGGGTTTCCATAGGCCATTGCTCCCTGTGCCTCACTGAGGGGGGGCCAGGTTCTGGCTTGTGGTCCCCAGTAGGCTGAACGCCATTGACTAATGCCCCAGTATTATAGTGTCTATCAGTCAGATAGCTCCAGAGAGCCGGAGGGGCTCCCCACAGAAAATCAGACATGGAAATAAAATGTAAATCAGACATGGAAATAAAATGTAAAAACATCTTCGCAGCAACACCCACCCCATGTACAAACGCATGTCACAGAGTAACTGCCACAAGGAGATGGCTAAATGAACTCTCGTGAATCATGAGACTACCTCGCTCCATCTTGGCCAAAGTACTGATTAAGAATAATTAAAATTCATTGTGTTGGGGGATAGGCAGCCAGCTTATACATACAGTACATGTTAGGCTTATATCAAGGTCCTCCCCAATATAGGTCGAATTACTGACCCTTCACAGGATGCAACGCTACAATAAGATAACTCCTGGGTACATATTTACTGCCAAGTGGACAGGGGAATTAGGTGATAGGAAATGCGCCCAACCATTTCTGTCCCACCAAGGATTCGAACCCAGAATTCTTAATGTGAGTCGAGAATGAACCCCAACTGTACTACCGGGACTCTGTATGTCACATACAAGTTATTTTTAATTTTTTCCTTTATCAGGAAATGCATATTAACAATATTAGAAGGAATTTTTTTTCTTACACACTTGGGTTATCTTTTTTTATTATCTTTCTTGCACACTTAGGTTATTTTTTCTTGGGTTATCAGCTATTAACAGGTGTGTAACCAAGAAATTAAGATTTGGTATTGCTAGGAGGAGGAGGTTTCCAAATGTAAACCAAAGTACTTTCTGGAGATCATTCCAGGATGGATCGAGAATACTCCAGCGCCTTCTTTTCCTCATTACTTTAACAGTCTAGTATAGGCATTTTGAAAAAGACTGCTGAATTGGGAGGCGAGAGTTGACCTGGCGGCCTTGCTATCATACAGCTTGTGAGAGCAGGATATTACTTTAGGGAACTACCAAGTGGTATTAGCTCAAAAAAATTTATGACAAAATTAAGAACATAATATATGTACAGTATACAGAACAATAACAGGTCCATGGTGCCAAGTATAAACCTCCCAAAGATCCCCTTATCTACTGTATATTTACCAGGATAGCAAAGATAGGCATGTACTGTATATTATTTACACCTGTGCAATTTTCCAAGCAGCAATAATCTCAAAATATATGCTTGATATCCTTCCGACATGCAAGTTAGATCCATTCTTATTGCACGAAGACTGCATCAAATTTCATAATTTAGAAGAAGTCCCATTAAAGGTCAGAGAAAGGCCCAGACATGCCTGCTTGGAGAATGCCAAAGGCACCAGATGACTGGACACACATTGGTATGTGACAAATGTAAAAACAAGGGAATTAATTTACTAAAAATACCAAGAAAGGTGTATGGGAGTTATATTGAGAGGGGTGAGGGGAAAATGACAAAAGCGCAGAATATGGTTTCCCATTATCAGAGACAGGAAATATGTTAGGCTTACCGAGGTCCCCCTAGACCAATGACTGACCTTTCCCAGCTATCAGTTCTGCTAGGTGAATAGGGGCATATTAGACACTCGTGCCTTATAACTTCTCCAAGGAGAAGTGAGAAGCTGACTCAACTATCAGCATACATACCAGACAGGATATAGCGCCTCTTTACACTATAACAGGGAGTTCACACTAGCCAAATCGTCAAGGAAGGCCAACTCGTGGATCCAAAAAGTCGGTGCTCCCATTCTAGGAACCAAACTGAGGTCAAGGGAGAGAACTAAAAATTGGTAAGAAATGTGAATGAAATCCCAGCCAAGGCCTGAACCATGGGTGAATAGGAATGTACCAGATATAGTACACACATCACTAAAGGAGAGGGGAAATGAAACAAAATTCTCTTGATAGTACTTGGCAAACCATGGACAGTGGATACCCGAAAGTGAAAAACATGAAATAAGAGCATTGACCCCACAAAATTGAAGTCTTCCTTCACCACAGAGAAAAGCAGGAGAGACTCTGTGTCCAAAATATCTAAGATGTGAGAACAGAAAAGTGGAGTGCAAGGCATGTCCAATGAAGATGGGAACCAGATTCACGAATCAGTTATGCAAGCACTTACGAAACTGTACATCTTTTCTCAACTTTTAGCAGCTTTGTTTACAATTATTAAACAGTTAATAAGCTCCGAAGCACCAAGAGGCTGTTTATAACAATATTTATTTATATATATATACAAGAAGGAACATTGGGTTTGTGAGCACATGGCATGATGTGTTGTTTACATTCTTGTAAAGCCACTAGTAAGCACAGCATTTTGGGCAGGTCCTTAATCTAACAGATAATATTAACATTAATAATATTACATTAATATTAATACTTAGAGACTAAGAAAGTCTCTAAGACAGTTGGTATACTCTCCAAAATCAGATATTATGTTCCTAACTCTGCTCTCCTCTCACTATATTATGCACTAATCTACCCCTATCTTAATTATGGTATCTGTGCATGGGGGTCTACCACTGCAAACCACCTTAAGCCCATCATCACACGGCAAAAATCTGCTATCAGAATAATAACTAACTCTGCTTTCAGACAACACTCAGCTCCCTTGTTTAAATCCCTAAACTTGCTAAATATTAACTCCCTCCACACATTCTCTTGTGTCAACTACATTTACAAAACCCTGTTCTTAAATGCAAACCATGCTCTGAAACTCTCCCTGGACAGATGTAATAGGACCCATTATCACCACACCAGAAATAAATATCTCTTTGATATCCCCAGGGTCAAACTTAATCTGTGTAAACACACTATGCAAATTAAGGGACCTAGTCTATGGAACTCACTCCCTAGTGAATTGAAAAACTGTAAAACTTTTGCCTTATTTAAAAGCAAAACCAAAAAGTACCTAACTTCATCTTCTTAGTTTCCTACACTGAGCTTTAAATTTGCTCTGTACCTAGTGTTACCCAATCTCCTAATTTTTATGTAATATCAAACAACCTTATCATTGTGTTCATTGCTGTCTTCTTTTATGTGCTAGTCATATGCTGTATTGTGACTACCAATTTTTGTCAACTACCATTCAAGCTGTCATTGCAATCAATCTTATATTGTTTCTGCTGTATTGTGCCTACCAATTTTTTGTCAACTACCATTCAAGCTGTCATTGCAATCAATTTTAGCTACCTATGTGCTTTAATATACTGTACCTACAATTTTCTATCATCTTTTTTTTTCATTTCATGTAATCTGTTATCATTTTTTTGTCTATAATTTTTGCAATTATTTACCTCCTTAAAATTTTCTTAGATTAAGGACCTGCCCGAAACGCTGCGCGTGCTAGTGGCTTTACAAGACTGTAATTACCATATTTGTATCCTCACATTCCTTATGTACATTCTTGTATATGCATAAATAAATAAAATAAATATTAAGTAGGTAAATTCTAGCAAAATTTATAAAATGTTAATAGGTACATTGTAAGAAATTTTGATAAAGATTAGTAGGTATATTAAAGCACATTGATTGATTGGTAGCATTGATAGCTTGACTGATAATTTGACAAAGATTAGTAGACACAATAAACATATTGATAGCACATATAAGATGACAGCAATGATCACAATGGTATAGTAGTATGGCTTAGGTACATATATATATTGGGGGATTGGGTAGCACACAATATGTGTTCAATATAACAACCATGATATCAGATGATATCAATGATTGCAATGGTAAAGTTATATGGCTTAGGTACATATATTGGGGGATTAGGTAGCACTAGATACAGTGCCAGGTAGATACAAATGCAGGCAAATATGTACTACAAGTATATTAGGTAGCACTAGATACAGGCGAGGGTTTCCTACACTAGGTAGAAAACTATGAAGATGAAATTAAGTACTTTTTGGTTTTGTTTTTGAATAAGGCAAAAGTTGGACAGCTTTTAAATTCGTTAGGGAGCGAGTTCCATAGACTAGGTCCCTTTATTTGTATAGAGTGTTTACACAGATTAAGTTTGACTCTGGTGATATCAAAGATATACTTATTTCTGGTGTGGTGATTATGGATCCTATTACATCTGTCCTGGGAGAGTTTCAGAACAGGATTTGTATTTTGTAAATGTAGATGGCACAAGAGAATGTGTGGAGTGAGTTTTATGTTTAGCATGTTTAGGGATTTAAACAGGGGGGCTGAATGTTGTCTGAAAGCAGAGTTTGTTATTGTTCTGATAGCAGATTTTTGCTGGGTGATGATGGACTTGAGGTAGTTTGCAGTGGTTGAACCCCATGCACAGATACCATAAGTAAGATAGGGATAGATTAGTAGATTACTGAGTAGTATAGTGAGAGGAGAGCAGAGTTAGGTACATAATATCTGATTTTAGAGAGTATACCAACTGTTTTAGAGACTTTCTTAATTATGTGTTGTATGTGGGTGCTGAAGTTTAGTGTCTTTGTCTAAGTATAGGCCAAGGAACTTTCCATCTTTTTTATTGCTGATGTTAACATTGTCTATCTGAAGCTCAATTGAATTTGCTGAATTGCTGCATTTGCTCAATTCCTGAATTGCATATGAATATCCATGTAGTAACAACAATTAATTGGAAAATTTTCATACTTGTAAATTGTTTAATATATGTTAACTGTTAAAGATTGAGGATAGATGTACACATTCGTAAGTATTTGCATAACCGCTTCGTGAATCTGGCCCCAGGAGCACGAGTCCCTCGGACACTACACGAGAGGCCCAAGTATACCTCATCCAAGACCATCAGAAAAAAGACAAGCACCAACGTGGATATCCTATCAGGGTCTCTCGAGTTCTGCCTTGCATACGATCTCACCCAATTGACATGGCAGGTGAAAAACCAACAACCATTAAGAGAGAGTAACTCTTAAAGAGACTTGACTCACTCTCTCTTGAGAGACTTACTCTCTTATGAAAGATGTCTTAACTCTCTCATTCTCTCCTTGCTTAAATCCAGCTCTGTGACTAAGGGAAGTTTTGTAAGTATTTTTGATTGATATAATTATTAAATTATAATATAATCTAATAATTTATTATTATATAAATATTTGTCGGCTCTTTATATATCATGTATACATACCTTTAATGTGCTAGCATCCTTATCAAGCAAGATTATCTCCTGTATTCCAGTTACATTTTTCAGGAACTTGAAAAATTTTAATTCGGCACATCCTAAGTCAGCTGCCTGAAATGTTCAAGATTTCAGTTGATAAACACATAGCCAGATCTAGTCTGATCAAGGAAGAAGGTGACCCTCTCCTCTATCATACAACTATACATCAACAAGCAAAATATATATTAGACTTTTTAATTAACACTACAGTTCAACAGCATCAACAATTAACATCCTATATCATTTCTGCAAACTAAGACCTGTTACCTTACTACTGAGGCTGATAACAGCTAATATTGAGGATCTTAACAACTAATACTGAGGATATTAACAATAATAATAATAATTAAATAATAATTTATTATTATTATTATTATTTGTATTACTGTATTATTATTATTATTACTATGTTAATATCCTCAGTATTATATTATTTTTTATAATAATGAATACAGTATTACAATATATACAGTATTATAGTACAGTATTATAATGATGAGGATTTTAACATCTCTGGTATAGAAGACTGCCGAGGTTCATAATGGGTTTATTCACGATTACTGATAAATCAAACATAACTGCAAAATGGACATCTACTTTGTTGTTATACAATAAATCTGTATTCATCCTTACTCTAGTCCCTGTATTTCCATTATACTGTCTAGTTATATATATTGTTTGTGTTTTCTCAAAAGAAAATTTAGCCCCTTACATAGTGTTTCGGGCAGGTCCTTAATCTAATATATCAGGTAAGATTTATTTAAAAAGTTGTATTTATTTATATATACAAGAGTTCTTACATTTGTAGCAAGTATATTATTGGGATAATCTACTCGCATACAGTAGAATAAAGTAGAACTAAAGTAGAGCTAAGGATGATCATTGTCAAGGATGAATAATTTTGTATTGAGAATTTTTTACCAGATCATTTTTGTACTGTACTGATTTACTGAAAATGATAAAAAAAAACAATAGACATGAATGAAGGAAATTTATCAAATTTCTTCCTTACCCAAAGTCTTACCTTTCTAAATGTCCCTTTGCTAACGGAGATAATTTTATCAATAACTCTCTGGTAGCGCTGCAAATATAATGGAGGGGAGAAGATAATTCCACTTTCAGATATGCACAGAGTACCGTTACTCTCATCCACAATCTCCTGACTCTCCAGCTTGGATTTGCACAGGGATAAAGCTGCATCAACTTTCTCTGGATGTGAATATCAATGATAAATGGTAACATTGCTAGAACAAATAACCACTAAACCCACATATTACAGATAAGAAAATTTTCAGTACTCAGCCTTCCTGAAACATTATTAAATTGAGACTAACATTGGTCCAGGACTAACCAAAATTACAAATTTTCTAATTTCTAGTGTGTGGGTTTAATATATAACAAAATGCTACATAATAAAGATGAAATACTTTAAATATAAAATAAAGATAAAAATATTACAAAAATATTTAAAAATAAATCCTCTTCTACATACAAAAGTTTAAACAGCACCCTTTGTACAGTATGTATATACAGTACTGTACATTATAAATACTGTATATCTAATACTGCACTGTATGGGGTTTCCTGCCGTCATGGACACAAGTCTGGAAATAGGCTTATTGAAGTCTTCCCTTGGCCAACTATCGACTTTCCCCAAGGATCCAACCCAAACAATTGCCTAACTCCTGGGTACCTATTTACTGCTAGGTGGACAGGGGCATGAGATGATAGGAAATGTACCCAACCATTTCTATGCCGCCCAAGACTCAAACCCAGAATTCTGGATTGCGAATCGAGAACAAACCCGACTGCACTACCAGGATCCTCTCTGTAGTACATACTTGCCAGTAAATTTACTTACATGGATCTAAACCAAAATAACCCAAGCTAAACTTAAATTATCTAGCCTAGCGTAACCTAAAATAATCTAGCCTAACCTAATCTAAAATAATCTAGCCTAGCCTAACCTAATCTAAAATAATCTAGCCTAACCTAATCTAAAATCCACCTGACCTAACTTGACCTAACATAACCTAGCCTAACCCTATTTAAAATACTGTTTCTAACCCAACCAAACCTAACCTCACATAAATAACCAACCCCACCATAATATTTATTTGTATTTACTTATATATAAGAAAGTCCATCGGGTTATGAGAGTACATAGATGTGGTCATTATTACAAACTAAGGAAGTCATTAACACACATAATTGCCGATAATTAGACTTAACTCCTGTACCTATTTATAAATTATAACACGCTTTGGCCAGCCTAACACTGCAATATATATATGTAAGTTTTAAGAGTAAATGAGGTAAATAAGCGAAGAAAAAACCCCAGAATCCAATTTGACAGATTTAATTAAGACAGGTTAGGAGAGACTAGTTTATTAAACACAAAAATTGGTTGATAAACCGAATTTTATTTAATCTTGAACAAGACAGGTTTAGTACTCATTACAAAGTTACGAAAGTAGAAGTTAGTTTAGTTCATTTATTATGCACCCCATACCCATCTTGTGGGCGGTAGTAGAAAGGGTTACAGAGGCACATAATGGGCTCAGGGACTGAACCCCACAATTCATTTAGCTAAGCAAGTTACAATCTTGATGAGCTAGTTACAAAATTCAATACAAGTCGAAAGTAGAAGAAAGGCAACTAACCACCATCTTCTTGCCCTTGTAGAGGGTGAAGAAGGCTCACCCGCTGTCCGCTCTCCATGTTGGTAACGACCCTCTCGTTAAGCCAGCGCCAATTGACCTCTTTTAATTGGGGGTTCGAGTCATTTCGTACACAAGGTAGATCGCGCATATTTTATGATATTTTAATTATTTTGTTGATATAAAATATGAGAGTACATATTGTTGATATCAAATCTTGCCACAATGTTATTTTTTCACCTTACCTGATATATTAGATTAATTAAGGACCTGAAATGCTATATGTGTGTGTGTTAGTGGTTTTGCAAGAATGTACAGATATCATTAATGTAATCTCACCAATCCATTGCACCTTCTTGTAAATAAAATATTATTACTGTATTATTATTATTATTATTAATATGCCCTGTTTTATGCCCATGCATCTATGTGACCACTTCAATCATGTCACCCCTAACTCTCCGCCTTTAGAATGTAAATTAAGTTTTTTTAATCTCACTCTTCATAGGTAATATTTCAAATTTGCGGGATCAACTTTGTTATCCTGCGCTGAACGCGTCCTAGTGAATTATGGCCGAGACTGGCCAGCATAATCTAAATGGGACATAACAAGAGAGCTGAAGAATTACGTCAGGTGTTTTATTGCTAACGCCTCTAGAAATAAATCCTAGTGTTCTATTTGCCTCATTTCGAACATGTATGCATTGATTTTTTTTTGGTTTTAAATTCCTACACACACTGATCCTTTTCGTAAATTTAATACCATCCTGCTGATATCCTGCTGATATATTATCATCATTATCTAGCCTCATAACCTTACATTTGTCAACATTAAACTGCATCTGCCAATATTTTAACCAATTCAAAAGCCTATCTAGATAGTTTTGAAAGATTTTTGAGTATTCTGATTGAGTATTCCAGCGTAATTTTCGTATCGGCTGCAAATTTGCAAATAATACTGCTCAATCCTGAATTTAAATAATTTATGAATAGTTTAAACAATACTGAGATGCAAAGACAAAGCCTTGAGGCACTCCACTTACACCAATTTCCCACTCTGACTTAACTCCATTTATACTAATTAATTATATCTTTTGACAATCATGCCCTTGTCCAGTTTAAGATAGCACCACCAGTACCGTGAGCCTCTATCTATCTAATCAGTCTTTCCTGTGACACTGTATCAAAAAGCTTTGATACAGACCTCAATGTCACAATCCTTTCTACTATCAACTGCTTCAACTAATTTAAAATCATATCATTTTTACATATAACCAGAATATTACGTGATATTCTGATCAGCAACACTAAGATAATAATACAATTTTATTGATAATTTAGTCATAGCCGAAGTACTACACATCAAACACTCATCCAAGTTAGGTATATCCTACCATCTACAAGACCAAGTCAGAACTACCAGTTAAAACTACCTACTGCGCCTAACGACCCATGAAAATGAAATTAAGGCAATATACTACCCACATGCTTAAAAACAAATAATTGCCAACAGAACCAAAGCACCTACTTTTAGACGCCAGTACAAAAAAAAAAATATATTATGGAATATCGATTTATATTGGAAATAATATACCGTTTTGTATTAAAGAATAAGAAAAAATATCAAGGAAATTTACGAGTGGAGTCAAGAGCCCTTGCTGGGGGTCTACATGCAAGAATTCTTCACTCGTCAAACAGCTCTTGCGCTCGGAGCCGAAGCCAGTTTTAAAACGGATGTTATATTTTCACTAGTAAACCTGCACATGAAAATGATATCACATACATATTTGTTTTTCCCAATCCCAGAGCGAGGACAATTTATATAAGTTTTAATATGAATAGGCCTAAAAGTTATTTGCTTCTGGGCTCGGCAGTGGATTTTTTTTTAATTTTTGCCCCGAGGAGCAAGTTTATTGGACAGTGCCACTCATCCTGAGAGTAGACATACCGCCATATAGCAGCATGTACAGCACCCCCCAATAGGAAGAAAACCCGCTGGGTTGTTCTCAGCAGCGGATGTGATGCCATCAACCGCCATTCCTTCCTCAACCCCGCAATAGCAACCTGTATTAATAATATCCAATACCTTTCGTAGTAAATTAACAAATGCCTTGATCTCGGCTAACGATTTTAAGAATTGCTGCAGAGTAGTTGGTTAGGGAGCCGGAAGGGATCTATGTCACTACTCTAGCACAACGCGAAGATAAAGTTTCGGGAAATGGAAGAGACGGTGTAAGGGGAAACCAATTTGGCGGAGCAGCTTAAAGCTGAAGGTTCGCTGTGAGCGCCGCCATGATGGGGAGACTGGTCGCCTTCACTAACTTGTACCGTGCACTCTCAAGTTTGCTTTGAGATTTGATTCGTCTTAATCTCTGTTAGTCTGTGAAGATCTGCAGGTATTTGATAAAATTTAGTATTGGGTGCTTATCGGTTTAGCTTCCAATCTTCAGAGGGCATGGCATTTAAGCTTTAAGCCTGGGGGGATCTTTCTAGATCTTAGGTCGAGGTGGGCAGATTAATAATATCAGTAAATAGTTCAATAACTGCGACATCCTCTTCTTAAATCCACGTATGGTAAATTCAGATAAATTCTTTTATCGAGAACCGTTTCGCAAAACATCTCTGACTTTTTTCCAGGGGAACTCTTTAGTCTGATGGAGATGCAGGCCGGGGTCACCTATTTTTAACCTATTCCTGAGGAAAAGTTTCTTTATTCAAGTGAGTAGCAGGTTTACGTGTTCAACAAATAACTTAAAGATTAACTGATAGGTTTTAGTAAAGGATTCTGGACGGCGCTGTACCTGCCTTAGAAAATATTGAAAATGCGAGGACGAAAGATGCGATTTTGTTCATTTATTATGCTCCCCAGTTTACAATAATGTACATGTGCTACCTACAGTTGTTCGGATTTCTGGTAGTAACATTTTGAATGACTTACACATTTCTTGAACACTTACAATAGAATTATCTCTTAATTCTGATTTTTTTCACATTCAATGACATAGTGACGCAAAATATGGCAAGAGTATTGCTGACTGTATTTCCATTCAGTTTAGCCTACTGCAGCAAGCGGTTCAAACTCCCAGAGGTAGGATGACCAAATCACACATCGGAAAATGGAGAAACGACGACGTTTCGGTCCGTCCTGGTGGACGGTTCTGGGGCCAGATTCACGAAAGCACTGTAGCGAGATGATGATGATGAAGATTAAGCCATCCAAAAGGTGGCACGGGCATGAATAGCCCGTAAGTGGTGGCCCTTTTGAGCCATTACCAGTATCAAGAGCTGATACTGGAGATCTGTGGAGGTGCGACTGCACCCTGCGTGACAGGAGATGTCTCCCGTGTGAGTTATTATCCGATGATTGATTGATGAAGATTAAGCCACCCAAAAGGTGGCACGGGCATGAATAGCCCGTAAGTGGTGGCCCTTTTGAGCCATTACCAGTATCAAGAGCTGATACTGGAGATCTGTGGAGGTGCGACTGCACCCTGCGTGACAGGAGATGTCTCCCGTGACTGTAGCGAGTAGATTATCCCAATAATATACTCGCTCCAAATGCATTGTTAATATTCCTGTCAACCTTTGGAGATGAATGAGGTGAGGCGTATATTCGACCAAATATATATATAGTATCTTAGTGTCTGTGTTTATTGTCACCATACTTTACGTAACAATAGAACCGTTACAGCACTTACGAACGTGTACATCTTTCCTCAATCTTTGACGGCTTTGGTTACATTTATTAAACAGTTTACAAGCATGAAACTTGCCAATCAACTGTTGTTATTGTTATAAACAGCCTCCTGGTGCTTCGGAGCTCATTAACTGTTTAATAATTGTAAACAAACCCGCTAAAGATTGAGAAAAGATGTACAGGTTCGTAAGTGCTTTCGTGAATCTGGTCCCTGGACCATTATCAAATCTTATATGAAACGACGACCGAAACGTCGCCGTTTCTCCATCTTCTGATGCGTGGTTTGGTTATCATATCTTTAGCTACGTTATTGTGACTCATTGAAATTGAAATTGAAATAAGTTTATTGAGGTAAAATACACACAAAGGGATGAGGTAGCTCAAGCTATTCTCACCCCATTATTGTGACTCATCATCTCCCAGAGGTACTTATAGCAGAGTCTAAGCCTAGCATTAGTTTTAAACGTTACTAATGCTAGGCTTTGGCTAACATTAGTTTTAGACGTCACTAATGCTAGGCTTTGGCTAACATTAGTTAAGTTAATGTGGGTAGTAATAAGTCCCTGACGTTATTGGATGACCCATAGATATGTGGCTCTTCCTGCATATAAATATGATAGAATAATTAGTGTGAATTTCACTTTGTCTCAGGTCTACTGGATTTTGTTGCAGTTCCCGGTATATTACTGCCCTCAGGGTGCTCAAAGGAAATCTAAACTGGCAATCGACTCCCTCTAAAACCACATATGCTTTGGCTAGTTCATCAGTTCTATCATGCATACGGAGGCCAATATGGGATGGGATCCATAGAAGACAGATTCTAACTCCATCACTGATTATTTTATTATACACAAACCTTTATGCTTCAGACACAAACACGTCATAGTTATGTCACGAGGGATTACTTGTTTGAGTGCGGAGAGAATGGCAAACAATTCTGTGTAAAGAGTAGATGCCTATAGTCTTTTATACGAGCTTCAACCCCTCAGAACAGAAGCCGTCTCTCGCCGTGACAATAACTGCACTTCAGGAAGTACCTGTGGAGTGGCGTAGGGAACCATTAGTGTAAATACTGTGGCAGAGGGTCGAGCGCTCTGTAATCAGAGCATCGATCTGCCTTAAGGCACTGTACTTTGCTTCAAGTCGAAGCACAGATTGTTCTTTAATCATCTTTGGTGGGAAGGGAGGGGATAGCAATAGAAAAGGACCCTTTCTCTTTCCTCAGGCCAGTGCATCCCTTTCTCTTTCCTCAGGCCAGTGCATCCCCTTCTCTTTCCTCTGGCTAGTGGGACCCCCTTCTTTTTCCTCAGGCTAGTGGGACCCACTTTCTGCCTTTATTCGGGCCAGTAGGATCCTTTTTATATCCTATGAGGCCAGTGAGACCTCTTTTGTTTTTTCTTTCTTGCTACTTTTCCTTTCCTTTCACACTTCCCATCTACCTCTTTCTTTTCCTG